ACATATTATATTATTTAATTTTTTTACCATCTTGTTTGTATTAATTAACATATTGTATTATCATAACTTTGTTTTAATTATATTATTAGAAATTTATTTGAATTATATTATGAAGTGAATTGACTATTTTTTCAAGATGCCCTTTTTGGTCATTTTACATGCTTATAAGCTAGTTTGTGCCAAACATCATTTGTTCATCAACTAGCTTATAAGTCATCAGCTAGCTTATCAGTCATCAACTAGCTTATCAGTCATCAACTAGCTTATCAGCTAGTTTGCCAAACATAGCCTAAGTAGGCGCAAAGCTGTAACTGCATCAAAAGAATGTAAAGGGGCTTAATAATCTTGGAATGAGAGGACACATTGAGGGGTGCTCAGATAGGGGTATTGTATAAGCAAGAGAGGAAGGTAGTGCAAGGGCAGGCGGAAAATGGAAGCTGCTAAAGAGGCTAGCTGCTCAAAGTGCTAGCATGTCTCTAGCCTAGTGTTTCTTTTCTTCGAAATATTTAATTAGAAGATTACTTCCATCTCCTGTGAGATTATCTTTTCTTCTTGTGCTACAAATGGAGTTTAATAATCCATCATCTTGATTGTGGTTGCGTCTAGGTGAGTTTTTTTAGGATTGCAGGAATGCAACTGATAGAATCAAGGGATATATCAGCCACACATTCAGCCATAATGTTAATCATTCACCAATGAATGAAGTGTTTGCAAGCAAAGCCTGCACATATCCCTTTTTCAGCTGATCCATCTACATCGTGTTTGTCTAAGGCAGCCCAGGTAATTGCCTCACATAAGAGGCGTTACAACACCATATCTGCTCGACTATCTAAGCACACACCTAATGTGTCTAGTTGATGGGATGATGAAGCAGAGTTAACCACAATGATTTTTTTTTGAAGATTTGAAGAAATACATTGAAACAACATAAAGAGGTTATAGGTTTATAATCAAGGTCAGGCATGAAACAAGAACATGATTATATATTTAATATTGTTCTTTGGTATTGTGATTAGGTAAAATGGGTATCATAGATGTAACATGAGAAACTTGTATTTCAGTGTCTTTAAAACATTGTGCCTTAATTAGCTCGGGCAAATACCTCTTGCCTTGGGCGAGATGACCAAGAAATCATCCTTTATTTAAAAAGTTTTAACTTAAATATTAATTGCTTTTCGAATTTAGCTTTAGCAAATAACTGAGGATTCAAGCGTCAAGGGTTGTTGGGTGGTCGGAAGGTTGCACATGAGTAAGTCTTACGCTGCCTGGGGGCTTTACTGGGGCTAACTAATAGAAGGCGTATTTACAAAATACCGTCTCAGTTCATCCTATTTCATCAGGAGCCAAAACAAACACGCCTGCTACCTACTGTACTGGACCTTTGCACAATCCAGAGGATGGGCTATAGTATCTACTCGGACACTACAGTGGCAGTGTGTTGAATCAGTAGCAGGTTAAGATGTCGTGACCTGCTAGGCTTGGTTGATTTTGTATTGTCGCCTTAGCCTCTGGCTCTTGATAACCATTATTGCCATTGAACCTAGAAGCTTGTTGAAGTGCATTTTTATGTATCACGTATAAAGCATATAATTGATGTGAGTGCAATTAGTTGGGACATGATGCTGCTGCATGTCTTCCCATTCTTGACCTGAAGTTTTGGCTTCTGGCAGATCTCTAATTTTTTAGATGGCTTTGCATTCTGATATGTGTCAGGTACTTGTCATGCTTACAAGAGTGCTGTATATCGTGAGACCATTATTATGTGTGTGAATTAACATACATGCCGAAATAACCTAACAACTTGTAATTACTTGATGATATATTGAGCTGCATTTTTTATCTACAATACGTGTGCTTGTGTATGAATATATATATATATTTGGTGCTTAAGCTTATTATCATGTGTTTTGCAGGGTGCCTAAAAACTCTCTTGCCAAGCTTTCTAGATCGGAAATTCTGAAAGAGCTGCAAACTGTTCAAAATCAATTTTTGGAGCAAATGATCCTCCCAAATGTTGTGGGAAGTGAGGATATTGGATTTCCTTTTGATCAGAATTCCATTGAATTCAGTCGACGTGTCAAGCAAGCACTTGCAGATTCAAGAGAAATGCAGAAGAATTTGGAGGCTAATATTAGAAAAAGAATGAAAAAACTGGGCGACGAGAAACGTGTTATTTTGAACAGCCCAGTTGATGAGATTGTGAAGGGTTTTCCAGAAGTTGAAATGAAGTGGATGTTTGGAGCTAAGGAGGTTGTGGCTCCAAAGGCTGCTCGTGCCCATTTGTTTCATGGATGGAAAAAGTGGCGGGATGAAGCTAAGAGAGATCTTAAAACGAAACTGTTAAAAGATGTGGAACTTGGTAAAAAGTATGTTGCTGAGAGACAGGTAAGTATTTCCAAAAAAACAAGTATTGGTACTTGATATTTTAATTTAAAGATCTTTTACTATTAAAAATTGCGGAATGATAATGGTATCAATATCAAGCAACCTCGCACTTCTTAAGAAAATTCCACAATCCCTTTGACAATTAAGTTTGTTATTTTGTAGTTGTGAGGGCTTCCAATTCTAGCATACATTTGTTATAACAATAGGGTCCTTGCTACTTTTTATTAGTTCTAATAAGAGTAATCATGGAAATTTGGGTGCACAATCTTCTGATGTTAGGAAGGGTCCCACTTAGTGACAGCATAAAATAAGCACAGGGGATAGGTGAGTCTGGGGCTAAGGGGTTTTATATTTTAGGCTTTTAACTTCCCACAAAACCAAATGTGGTGTGATTGTGTTTGTTTTATTTCAATATCGTGAAACAAGAGCTCAAATACCATGTTAAGTCATCAACTCATACAAACTTACACCTTTAGACAAGTTACTATCATAAATTCTTAATCTGACTGTTAAATCACCCATACCTTCTGTACCAGTTACTTTTTGTACTTTAATATAAAAGTCTTAATGTTTACAATTTCTTATTTATTTGTGCATTAGTTTTTTTTCTTGGTTTATACTTGTATTGATGTGTGTTTTATGCAACACTTTCCTTTTTTTTGTTCTTATGTTGTGTGTTATCGTCTTAAGGTAGTAGTTAGTACGTTCACAGTTCACACCACCATTTGGTTTCTGGTATATGACCTGTATCCTCTATGGACCATCCTATAAATAAAGCATTCATGGTTTATAAAAAATTCATCTTCGAGTTTGTTTGCATATGGAAGTGAACGCAATTGACTATGGTAAATGACACATTAATTTCTTATTGTAGGAAAGAATCCTTTTGGAACGTGATAGAGTCTTGTCAAAGACTTGGTATAATGAAGAAAGAAATAGGTGGGAGATGGAACCTATAGCTGTTCCTTATGCCGTGTCCAGGAAACTAGTAGAGAATGCGACGATCAGACATGACTGGGCTGCAATGTATGTCACACTGAAGGGAGATGACAAGGAGTATTTTGTTGACGTTAAGGTAAATCTATGATTAATATTTTGTTTATGCATCATTTCTCATGCATCATAACCTTCTCCTTTTTCTATGTCCTCTTTTTTTGGACGAACTTTCTCTTTATATTGCACACTTTTCACAAGCCCACATCTTCATGGAAACAACTGCCCTATACTCCTTGGGGTAGAGGTCAGATATGCATACATCCCATCCCCCCACCCCGGGTTGGATATACTGGGCTCTTTTGGTTTGGTTTTGTTTATTATGCATCATTTCTCATGCATAGATTCATCTTTAATTCTGATTGAAAATGCTTATATCAGGAATTTGATACGCTGTTTGAAGATTTTGGAGGAGTTGACGGGTTGTATCTGAAGATGCTTGCGTCAAATGTTCCAGTTTCTGTTAGGTTGATGTGGATCCCTTTCTCAGAGTTAGACATTGACCAACAGTTCCTCTTTCCAATTCGGGTCTTTCATCAGTTGTTAGTTGGGTTATCGAATACTAGATATGTAACGACTACTGTTGGCCAGATCTGTGATTCATTCGTGAATATAAACAAAGACATTTTGGTGCTAATCATTTGTCGTCTTCTGGAGTTTGTCATTCCTTCACGGGTAATTTCCAAATAGTTCTCACATCCTGTTTAATAGAGGATTCGTATTTGTTCATGTCCGTATAACATCTTTCACAAATTCATATAATTCGACATTTAATTAAGTTTATGATGCACTGTGGTGATATGATTTTTGTAACAGGCAAAGAAGCAATTGGCTAAGACTGCAGCCATGGATCAGTATCTGAATTGGAAGTCAGAGGCAGATAATAGTATTAAAGTTAAAATTGAAGAATCGGAGTTCAATTGGTATTTTGTGTTTGTAGTTAGGGCCATTATATATGGATATGTTGTATACAATATATTCCATTTTATGAAGAGAAAGATAAAGAAGCTTCCTACAGTTATTAGGCCTAAACGCAGAGATCCAAACATGAGGAAGCTACAAAAGCTGGTATGGTTCATTCTTCTAGTTGTTTTCCACGTACAACTATGCTATTTCATTTTAACAAATGCCTTTCAAACTACATGCTCAATAATTTTCTGTCTTGCACCAAATAATTTCCTTATTCTAAAATTACGCCCTTCCTTTTGTTATATGCACTAGTTTCTAATAGAATTTGCATTGCTGTTACTCATGTGATGTTTAGTTGTTTACTTGTGTGAAGTGAGCTTAGAGTCCATGTGTGTGAGAAAAATGTTATAATGGATCAGTCGAAGGTTAGGCATTGTAAATGCATGTCATTTTCCCCCTTAAGGAGTTATTTAGCTTTCGGATCATTGTATTTCGCTTCTTTGATGCATACAAAACATAGTTATTTTTTTAAATGCAAAAAAATAAGAATAAAAAATAACGAGTTACACTTGCAAGAATGAGATGTTTTAGAAAAGTTTGTCAAGTATAATGTTTTTTTTTTCTTTTCTCTTTGTTTTTGCATCATGCCTTTCCACAAACTTGTTGATAAACTCCTCCTTGCAAGCTTTAGTGTCATCTTTGGTATTTTCCTAGTAATGTTGGTTTGTTCGCAACAAAAAAATGTACTGGTTCAAAAAGGCATTCTTAAAGCAGTATTTTTGAGTATTTTCAATTTAGATGAACTCAGTTTTATTACCTTGTCAGTTATGCATTACTCAAAGCACCCAAATTATTTCAGTGAAAATTTACTTCTTAGCAGGTGGTTGGTTCATGTAACTTAACTTTGTGACTAATTCTAAAATGATAATATGACATTCCATTTCATACTCCTGCTAAAAAGTTGGCAGAAGAAGACTTTTATGGTGACTTCTTTGCAGTTTTTCATGACAAGTCATCTTGGATGGAACTGGTGGGTCAGTTGGCAGCTACAGGGATTTCAAACTCCAAAGTAATATATGGCCCACTTGATACAAAAAGCAAAAAAAAGGAAAAATGAATGAATTGCAAAATTGTAAACAAATATCAATTTTGGGTGCTAAACCTTTACATGACATGTAATTTGACATTTGGTCCAATTTTAGACGCCTAGCTAAACTATATATATAGTAAATCACCCCAAGTCAAAACTCAAACATGCTCTTAAGGCTTAAATCTTGGGCATTGAAGTGTAAAGTTCTATGTGATTTTAAATTTTAACTTTGTGAGTAGTGTTTGCTCTACTTGGTGCAATGACAGTGGGTTTGCGTTTACTGTTCTGTCATCACTAAGGCAACCCATAGTCCCTTCGTTAAACGCCTCATTGGAGTCCCTTTTAGAATTGGATTTGCTTTCCATTTTGATGACAAACATATTAATACAATCATGAAAGGAAGGTTTATGGTGAACAAACTTTTTTTACTTTAGCAGGAGGTATTGTTGTTATGAAACTCATTTTTCAAAGCTTTTTCTTCACCCTGTCTTTATGATGTTTATGATGTTCTGCAGAAATCTCTTTTCTGGACTCGGTTGCAGCGGGCAATAGCTAGGAAGAGGGAAGGTGTTGATCCTATCACCTATGCTTTTGATAAGATGAAGGTTCATACTTGAACTCAGAACACATGACACTTTCTTTCTTCTTAAATGTTCTTTCTTAGAGTAACTTGCTAGATCCATGCCTGTCTAATTCTTTAGAGGGTGAAAAATCCGCCTATACGTTTGAAAGACTTTGCAAGCGTTGAGTTCATGAAGGAAGAAATTAATGAAGTTGTGGCATTTCTACAAAACCCTCGTGCCTTCCAAGAAATGGGTGCTCGTGCCCCTCGGGTATGTTCTTTTCTAAAGCATCACAGAGACCTCTACCTTTCCCAAACATGATCACATTCACATATAATATGGGGTTTTTGTTGGAATCTGTTGATCCACTTTCTGTTATTCATATATAAGTTAAGAGTTTGTTCTTTGCTCTATTGCTTGCTTCTCATTGATGCATTTCAGTTGGTTTATAATAATACATTTGTACAAGACGAGTGCCATTGGTTATTCTTAGGTCCTGTTTGGTTTGTAGGATTGGCATGGGTTTGAAGGGATTTGTAATTAAATTCCAATCCAGTCCCATGTTTGGTTTGAAGGATTTCATGGATTTGAAATCCCAGGATTTCATTGAAATCCACAAACATAGGATTTTGAAATCTCATGTGGGTGGTTGGTATTTCATGGGATTTCGTAGGATTTGTGTATAATAATGTTTTAAAATATGTTAATATTGTAATAATCAATTAAGAAAAAGGTAATTTAGTTATTTTTATAATTATTTATAATTTGTTTTTATAAATTATTTATAAATAATGGAATTATGTTCCAATCCAAATCCTACAAACCAAATACACCAAAGATTCCAAATTCTTCCAAATCCAAATCCCTCCAATTCCAAATCCTTCCACGAAATCTAAATCCCTTAAAACCATTCCATCAAACCAAACGCCTCCTTATAGTTTGTCCTCCGGTTAACTAATTATCATGTAATTCAAGCTTCACACCTTCGATATAACTTTCCATGCTGAAAATAGTATATACACTGCCTACTGACATGTTGAATGTCCTCCGATTGCAGGGAGTTCTGATTGTAGGTGAGAGGGGAACGGGTAAGACTGCACTGGCTATGGCTATAGCTGCAGAGGCTAAGGTTCCACTTGTTGAGGTGAAGGCCCAACAATTGGAGGCTGGTTTATGGGTTGGCCAGAGTGCATCCAATGTTAGAGAACTGTTCCAGACGGCCCGAGAACTGGTTATACTCTCTGATATCATACTTTTATGTCCATTCTTTATTTAATGCGTCTATGAATATTGGAAAAGTGAAGGGACCAGAAGACTACTAACAAAAATATATGATGTACATGTATGGACTGCATCATACAAAGTCGCATCTTGTTTTGTTCTAGTATTTAAGTTATGCACATTACACAGCTGGTCAGACAGGTTAAATATGCGTCAAATGGGTATGTCAGGGAAGTAACAAAGGATCAATATCTCCTGCTTCAAGTTCTGCTGAACCCAGGGGTGATGGATTTGAGATGTTGAGTACTATGCTTGCTGCTGCTTCTTCACCCGAGCTTCAGAAAGGAGAACGCCTCTACTTGCTTCTCAACCAACTCAAGGTGATTTTGTTATTATTTATCATAGTTGTTTCATCTAATTGTTGCTAAAACCTGAATATGGAAAAGAAAATTAGACTTCATTCTTGAAGTATATAATATTTGTATACTCGCGACAAATACTCCCACACACTCCTCACTTTGGTGAGGTTTGAACCCTTGATCTCTTTTTTTTTGGGGGGGCCTTGGGGATCTACTAGTATCCCAAATACCTTTGGACCCAATGAACCTTTGGTAATTCTTGCTTTGACCGAGATGTTTGATTTCATAATTTTGCCTAAACTACTAGTTAAGTAGTCTTAATTGGTACTTTAGGCAGAATTATGAAAGCAAACATCTTGGTTAAAGCAAGAATTATGAAAGCAAACATCTTGGTTAAAGGTTCAATGGATCCAAAGGTATTTGGGACACTGGTTGAGGCCCCCTCCCAAAGAGGTCAAGGGTCCAAACCTCACCAAAAGTGAGGAGTGTGTGTGAGTATATGTTGCGAGTATACAAATATTATATACTTAAAAATGAAGTCCATTTTTTTTCCATATTCATGGTTTAGAAACAATTAGACGAAACAATATGATAAATAATAGCAAAGTGACCTTGAGTCGGTTGACAAGCGGGTAGAGGTGTTCTCCTAGAATCTGTTTCTGAATCTCGGGAGAAGCAACAACAAACATAGTACTCAACATCTCAGATCCATCACCCCTGGGTCCAACAATACTTGAAGTAGGATATATTGATCCTTTATCACTTCCCTGGACATACCCATTTTGGCGCATGCCTAACCTCTCCTCCCCACTGTGTAATGTGCATAACTTAAGTACTAGAACAAAACAAGATGCGACTTTGTATGCTGCAATCCAATGTGTTGAGCCTTTCTACCAAACTACTTGGTTAGGCTTACCAAGAAACCAAATAGAAATATAAACGGCAACCGACTAAGGTTATAAGACATGAATGACATCCTTCCATGGACTTCTATCAAAAGCTATTTCTTTTGGTATATTCCACTTTCTTCACCACGCCAACAATGTTTGTTTGACCTTTACCTCTCATAACTACCTCCTCTAGGTACAAGCCTATTCTAATCAGTGCATTCATAGGTAAGCATAGCTGCCTCAATTTCTCCTCAAATGGTGCCACTGCAACCTTCTCCTGTTATATCATTATTTACAATTCTGTTTCTGAATGTGAGGCCACACATCTACATCAGCAAAATTTTATCACGTTTATTTTGTTTACGTATGTTTTCTAACATGTTACCCTGTAAATTAGTATCATATCTCTCTGCCTTCTTATTGTAGGTGTTTCAGTTTGAGAACAAAGTTTGCCAAATTGGAGATCCTTAAATGTTATAGACTAAAAGTATAGACCACCTTCTTATGTTTCTGATTGCAACGATTACTGAGCAATACGAATTCATTATAGGCGCCTGTGATCATATTTGTGGAGGACTTCGACCTCTTTGCTGGTGTTCGAGGGAAGTTTATACATACTAAAAAACAGGATCACGAGGCTTTTATCAATCAACTACTTGTGGAACTTGATGGGTAACTCTCTTATCTCTTCATATCAGTTGGTTTAGTAAAGCAGTAAACTGATGAATACATGGTTTAATATATGTTTTTGTGCTGCTCCTGTGTTTTTTCCTGTTACACACATTTGTTATCTTTAATACCTAACTATTTTCTGAAGTTTTATCTTCCATTCAAGAATTCTTCCCTGAGTATCCTGATGGCTTGGTGACAAATTTTTATGAAAATGGGTATCTAACATGCACACAAAGTACTTCCATAGTTGTTTGACAAATAACAACTAAAGCTGCTATTGGTTTTTCTTTTTGGAAAGAAAGTTACTTGATTACTAAATTGACTATTTTTTTCAAGATAAAATACAGGATTCCTTTTGTGTAGTTATTTCCCTCCATTTCTTCTGGATCCCATCTCTACTAATCTTCGCATTATAGAAACGGGACCCACAAAATAAAAAAGAGAAATGAAATGAAATAGCCGAGACAATTTCTCTTAAGCCCAGAATCATATAGGTAGGCATTTTTTTTACTATGGACTAACACTTGAGATGATCATCCCACTTTATTGCCGCTAGTGCATCTACTATATCACTATCATGGCATTCTTTGTGGAAATTGTTGAGCATTAGTGAAGTGACTTCTTTCATAAAAGCAGCGATTCTTCTAAAAACATGTATCATTTTGAGAAGGGAGTATGCCTGGGTCTTGTTTCAGGGTTCTACCGCTGTAGTAAACAGTCAATATATCTGTAAAAAGAACAAAAATCTGAAAACCTTGAAAGTCAAATATAAATATCCCTCTTGTTCTAACATAGTGGAAACACATTTGAAGAATCACATATATGTTACCATACATCCCTCGAAACACTACTCTAAATGGTAAGGTTGGTACTCAATATAAATGCAATGAGTAGCACAAAATAGGACTTGCTCAAAAGAAAAAAAAGGTCGGAAGACGTGAAGAGATATGTTAATGTTTCATGCATCGTGTAGATGTACACATATTTATATAATAAACATACTGTATTTCAACTTCTCTAAAATTAGTCGTGCATCTTTGAAATGCGTAGAGACTAAGAAGATGTACACAAAACACATGCCATTTGCTCCATAACGGATATCTTAGTATCCATGGCACCTGCAAGAGGCGTCTAGTAAAAAACATATGGATGTGGCTGTAGTAAGAAGTAGAGAAAATCAGATTCATAAAGCCCTTGTTTGGGGTGCATGTCCATGGTTTCTATGAGTATCACTAATTTTTAGTTTTTACATGTCTTAGATGATACCCGAGAAGTACCTGAGTTTCATTGCATGGTATAATCGTGGTACTTTAATGTCAAATAATTGGTTCTACTGTTCCAAGTTACATAAATATCACTTTCTAAAGGCGTTCGACAATATCATGTGATTATGTGTGCATATGTATGTAAATATTGAACCATATATCTACATGTGTACTTAGCTATCTATCTATTTATATATAGTATACGTGCAAATTGATCTATAAGAATATTGTAACTCTATATTATATGTAGATGCCATTTATCAATAATATTTCTGCTAGGAAAGTACATGTTTCCCGAGTTCGATATCCTCCTTTCTCTATTGAGCTGTCCCTACTTTCAGTGTCCATACTGATAATGGATTTACCCTAAATTGTATATTCAGAAGATGACGCCTGTCGACTTTGAATGTTTTTGTAAATTACTTCTGGCATTATGCCCCTGAATCAAGCTAGATAGAGCAACACTGCCAATATATAATAGGACAAATAAATTTTTAACTCTCTAATCTCCATATTGATTGGAAGTGACATTTATTTTATTAGGACATAGGGGATGATAGTGCTTGCTAAAAATGGGTTGGATTGATGTGTGGATTTGGAAGTATGTATAAAATCTAAGTGTTTGTTTCAACATAAACGAAGTTGCAATTTTACTTCAACTAGTTACTTTTTTGAAATATTGTTGGAATAATTGTCACATTACAGGAGAAAAAATTATCTTCAACTTAGAATGCCTTGTATCATATCTTAGTAAATCGAATGGGTAATTGTAGTATCAAGGTCTTAATTATATGTAATCTGGTAAGGTCGATTTATAGTGTGGTGAGGTTGTCCCTTTTTCATATCCAATTGAGCACTTATTTTGTCAATTCTTGCTAGCCTACCTATCATTTTGAGAGCTAATTGCGAACTGTGTTGCTGGTAATCAGACTAACTATGGCCACTGCTAACAAAAGAACTTGGAAATTTTACATTTTTCCTTGCTTTACACATCAAGAGAGGAAAAAGTACATTTGTTAGCATCTTTTTTGCCCTCTCTTAGAAGTTAAATTATTGCCTCTCTACCCTTTGGCGTAACGGTAAGGTCTGTGTACATTTTCCCCATCCTAGACCCTACCTTTGGATGTTTGGTTTGTTTTAGAAGTTAAATTGTCATGTCACTCTTTCATGCAACACCAATCCTTCATGCAGGTTTGAGAAACAGGATGGGGTTGTTTTGATGGCTACAACTCGAAATCTCAAACAAATTGACGAGGCTTTACAGCGTCCTGGTCGGATGGACAGAATATTCCATCTTCAGCGACCAACACAAATCGAAAGGGAGAGAATACTTCAGATTGCTGCAAAAGAAACTATGGATCCTGAGCTTATTGATTTTGTTGATTGGCAGAAGGTAAGAGCTTGCATTCCGTGATTTCATTGTTCCTGCTGTTTCACACTACTTCAAACGTCGGTGGTATTTTTTCAATTAAGTTTGTTTACAAGCCTAAGTTTTTGAGCCCTTTTTGAACCTGGTTCGGTAGCACATTGCACAACATATAGAGACCAATTTAAATCAAGAAAACTTCTAAAGCCAGTGTGATTCAACATATGGAGACCAATTTAAATCCTGATGACCTATTTGAACCATATAGAGACAATCGTCTAGTTCTAAGGTGAGAAAGATAAACTGTCAGCTACATCATTATCCTGCTGATTTCTTCATGCTTAACATGTTATTATATGACGTATATCCAATGCTGGGTTACTGTGGATATTACTTTACCTTATTTCTTTGGAACCCGAGTAAAAAATCCTTACCAGTTCTGTCATTAAGTTAGCCTTGTCCAGAGGCAGATTTTTCTCTAGTGGTGGCACAAAATAATTAACGTAATATAAAATAAAACAGAAACTAATTGGAAAATAAAATAAATATAATAAAATTAGTTATAGTTACCAAATACAGTACAAAACACTAAGAAGTCAATTCCATTTCCAACAACTTACAGTTGGGGCATTTGTGTTCCTCATTGATAACCGGTGGTGATCTTTGACTAAAGCCTGCTATGCTGCCAAGTCCCTAATTTTGGAGTATCTCAGTCTATACTGTTGCTGATTTTTGTATATGATCTCTCTTCTTGGAGCACCTGAGACTGTAGACTACCTATTTAAATAAGTAGTGTTGGAAGCATACATAAGTTGACCAACTACACTTACAAAAGGCAGTATTTGAAGATTTAACTATCAAGTAATTAAACTTAAGAATTATTATTTGGATCATTAATAGGCTCTCCATCCCAGGCAACAATGTGCTGTTTTGAATCACAGACGAGTCTGCAAATTTGCATCCCCATAATCCACTCTTAGATATCCATGATATGTTTGTTCTTTGGCAAATATGATCCTTACTTATTTTTTGATAGTGTGACATCTAAATCCCCAACAATATCCATGTTTTTTCAATATTTGTAACCTGGCATCATGTCCTAATACCTTTTTGGATGGCTATGCCATGAGTGTGAAGATCACCAAACCCTAAACCATGAGTTTTTGAAGATAACCAAACCCTAAACCATGAGTATGAAGATCACCATAATGGTTCTCACTTGTGAAGCAATAGGGACCAAGGTTCAGGAGGCTTGATGACATAAAGACCTTTCAACTCAACAAACCTAAGAATTCTCTTCAATCAAAAAGCATGATGGATCTGTGTGTGTGTGTGTATATATATATATATCCTCAATAAAGACATTAACATCCTCCTCAAGCCGGCGGTCTTCATGGAAATAGCCTCTCTACTCTCCAGGGTAGAGGACAGGCCCACCCATATCCCAGTCCTCTAGACCCCACCTCCAGGTGGGATATACTGCTTTGCTTATACGGAAGGCTTCAATATTAGGTCTCTTCATATGATATTTAGTTGTATACTTGAATAGGCTTTTGCATGTTAAAGGTGGTTTATGTAGTTGCCAGTTATTGTATCATTTATTCCTTAGCTTTCTTTAATAATGGCGAGAGAGTGAAGCTAAAGTTGATGTTTTTGACAAATTTTTTTATTTTTATTTTTCTCATACCTTATTACCTTTTGTGGGCAGGTGGCTGAAAAAACGTCTCTTCTACGTCCTGTAGAACTCAAACTTGTTCCTGTGGCCTTGGAAGGTAGTGCCTTTAGGACTAAATATCTTGACACAGATGAACTCTTGAGCTATACTAGCTGGTTTGCGGTAAGAAATAGTTTCTCATTCACATTCAATTCTCCCTACAATTCACTACAGCATAAGTTATATATGGATATTTGTTTTTCGGATACAGAATTGTTATGTTCCTTTTACTATCTGAAAAATCAGACCCATCAACTCAAGCGCAGTTCAAGTAGGTTTTGCGTTCAAAAGTCGAAACCTGTTTCTTCTAGCTGTATGCTAAGCCTTGTTCTTTTTCTTGTTTGATGGCTAAAGTCTTACTTGTGATTTTGATTGCTTTACTTCACTTCTTAAATGTACCAGAGCCTAGGTATTCACTATTGCATCAAAGCTTATATTTCTCTTTGCTTGTTTTAATGTAGCAAGCCAAATTGTTGGATCCCTATAATTATTAATTTAATGCTGCCTCAGGGCTTTAGGAACGATTAGGTGTTAAAAAAATGAATTCAGATCCCTTCAATACATGGTATATTTCAGTGTGTAAGGAAGAGAGAAAGTGAGCAAATTGTGTTTTTGAGATGGATTCATTACTAAAGGATCTAAAGAACATAAATAAATGATTGGATGATGAATATTGCTGATAGTGACATATTGAATATTTCGGTTTCAAGCTATTGTGTCCATACTTTTCAAAAATTCTCTTCATGCTGATTTTGCAGACTTTCAGCAATAGCATACCCACATGGTTGAGGAAGACAAAACTTGCAAAGACGATGGGCAAAATGCTGGTTAATCATCTCGGCTTGACATTGACCAGAGAGGATTTGCAAAATGTGGTTGACTTAATGGAGCCCTATGGTCAGATAACAAATGGGATTGAATATCTAAACCCTCCTCTTGATGTAAGTATATTGCTAGTTCTTTTAATTAAATAAATAATTAGTTTAAATATTGTTATATGGATTTCTTTTTTCTCCTGCCATCAGTTTCCTTCAGAAAAAAAAGCTTCCCTTACCTGGCACTTCTTGGTTAGCTTTCTCAAAATTAATTATTCGTTTCTTTTTGAGTGTCTTAGTTTCAAATGGATACCACTTTGTGTCCCTCATTTTTGCTGCTGTAGTTTACTCTTTCACTGCTGAAAGATATATCAGAAACTTAAAAATAAGGACCAGATTCCAATTTGCTAGTTCATAATTATCATAAATCTTTCCATGGTGAACTCATCAAAATTACTGACAGTGTAAATGTTGCACATGCTGGCTAGTGGCTGCAATCATAACATAAGGAATATGGTTTAATGCTTTAGATTTTCCTGGAATAAGGAAGTACCACTGGTTCATTGTTTATCCTTTTAATGGTATTTAGCTCAATTGAAATTTCAAATTTTGATACTTATGCTTTTCAATTTCTCGTAAATACCAAGCCTCTCTTGGTACTTAGCATCTGCTTGTCTCATATTACTCCTCATGACATAATAGTGGACGAGGGAGACGAAGCTTCCGCATGCCATTTGGGTTGCTGGTCGTGGACTTATTGCTGCTCTTCTACCAAACTATGATGTGGTTGATAACTTATGGCTAGAGCCTTTGTCTTGGGAGGTATGTATTTTTTAGTAGTTCTTGTATTCATATTCGTGTTTAGATTCCATATCTTGTTATCAACTTTAGCACATTATCTAAATACATTGGTAAACTAAGGTAAAATCTTACCACTTCTTATAGTATTTCCTACAATTAATCATTACCGAAAAGGGGTGGGCCTTAAAGCAATCTTTGTGACTGGAAAATCACATCTTGTCACTGGAACAACCTGCTTGCGAAATACGAGGGAAAGCCAGTGTACAAGAACTTCCTCCCCAACCCTCATAAAGCTGAGGAGCCTGGTTCATAGGGGTTGCGTTTATTGATGGCCTTCGGTAATGTTTGTGGGAAATGTGAAGAATTTTTCTTGATAACTTTTATGTATGTGATACATTATATGGGCCAGTAGGCTGAGGTATATAATTACCACATCGAACCATGTCCAACACTTCGTATGTGGGAGGATGGATCTAAGTCAGGCCTAACTTGCTATATATGAAGTCAGCCTTCATAGGAGGCTTTGTCAGAATGTCAAAAAGTTCTATCTGATCCTTCATTGGCTTTGGCTGATAATTGGACTCTGATATTCTAAGAAGCAACATACTGCTTCTTGGTCTCTTAAAATACAAGGGATTACTATGTACAGACAGACATACCTATTTGTTGCCATATTAACATTCAAGAACCCCTTTATCTTGTCTACTTGCTTGTCTAGACTCCTCAAACTTTCCAATATTCACATTCATAATAAAACTACCTCTCTAAAATGACCCTTTAAGATTTAAAAACAACCTGGCTGTTAGAGTAGGTTATACACTAATGGTATAGGTGATGCCCGGTCAAGAGACTGAAATCCCAACAAACTTCATATGTTTTTCTGGGTGATTCAATACTTTCCCATCTTTAGACTTTAAGTTGCTATTCACTGTTTTCATGATTTGATAAGCTGATATCCCAGTAACCTACCCTCATAAAGCAAAGCCCAAAACATCTGGTGGCAGATGAGAGTCCCTTCTCGAGACTGAGAAATCTCAATTCCTATAAAGCGATAAGAGCTGGAAAACAAATTCCAGGAGAAAGTAAAGAAATAGATCAAACTCCTGTCTTTCTGATAGGACCCAAAGCGAATTATATTGATTAAATAACCAAAAACTAACAATACCGTAAAATACTAAAGAAATATTATTAATTTTCCTCCGTCTATGGAATCATACGACAATAAGGAAACTATGAAATATTAATTATTTAATCGATATAATTCTCTTTAGGTCCTATCAGAAAGCACATGAGTTCGATCTATTTCTTTTACTGTTTCCATGCACATTGAAGACAGTGTAATGGTTGCATCTCTTCGACATAACGAAGGCCTGTCTGAACAGTGCAAACAAGCTCTGGGACCACTTTCAGACCACACAAATACCTTTGTAATGAATCTGATGCCTCATGCTAAACAGCACAAAATGCTTATAAGGAGGAAGAGATACTGAAACTCAAGTTTCCTTTTGTTTGTCAACAATTATGGCAGTAATAATCTGGTCCTGGCAAGATGTCAGATTGGGCAAGATGTCAGATTGGTTAAGATGTCAGATTGGTTTTACACTTAAAAATGACAATACTTCTCAAGTTTATGCACCACCTTGTTGAAGTTGAACCGTTTGCCAGTGTTATACGAGGATTTGTTAGTAAATCCTTTGCTTGCAGGGAATTGGGTGTACAAAGATCACAAAGGCTAAAACGGAAGGTTCGATGATCGGAAATGTTGAATCTAGATCGTACCTTGAAAAGAAGCTTGTATTCTGCTTCGGCTCCTATGTTGCATCCCAGATTTTGCTTCCGTTTGGAGAAGAAAATATTCTTTCTATGTCTGAATTGAAGCAGGCACAGGAGGTAGCATCACAACGAAATTATGCCTTTTGCACCTTCTCTCTTGTTATTTTTGTCGATACATAGCTTGACAATGTGCTCCTTAAAAACAGATATCTACAAGAATGGTGATTCAATATGGGTGGGGACCTGATAACAGTCCAACAGTTTATCATCATGGCAATGCGGTATTGGCTTGATCCTACTTACTATATTTGCACCAACTTTTGAACCAGCAGGAAATAAGTTGCACGTACGTCTTAGTTATGCCGTATGATTTTTAGAGCAAAACAACAAACCTCTTAAAAGGGTATGTTATGGATTTAAAAGGCCATCCAATGGATCACATATGTTCTCTAATGATAGGATGTGATTTTTCATGCTGTATATACGATCTATACTTGTTCTGACTGTGAAATCAGATCAAGTCATACCTTGACTATTCATGGGTGAATTAGCTATATTCAGAAGATGTTGATACACTGATGTTTTATGCTTTTGTTCATATGCCCAGGTGACTGCTTTAAGCATGGGAAACAATCATGAGTATGAGATGGCAGCTAAAGTTGAAAAGGTATGCAGAAACTTTGTTTCTGTGTCTTTGTGCTGAATGGTAATTAAGTAGCGTTCTAGAAATCATTGTGCGTAGCTAGGCGGTTGGGTGGCTTTTTTTGTGCTTAATAACCTAAGAGAGGATTAATCTGTGATGCATAAACTGCTCATTTTAATCTATGAAGTTAATGATACTATATTATTTCGAGGTAGTTACTTTTCTTTATGACTTGTATCATTGTCCCGTTTATATGATTACTCATAAATGATGGGAAGTATATTTTCCTCCAACTTGTGAAAAGTTGATTGATGAGCACAAATTGAGAAGAGTTGGTTGATTTAATTAAATGATGGGTTGTGCTGTTTTGTGCAGATTTATGATTTAGCTTATGAAAAAGCAAAATTGATTCTTTGGAGTAACCGTAATGTTCTTGAGAAGATCGTTGAGGAATTGCTCGAGTATGAGATCTTGACAGGGAAGGTAAAATAGTTTCTACTTGATCTGTATATATGTAAAGGCTAATATCATTTATCTCTAGAAATCTATTAATACACATAACCTTTATACCTCTAAAAAAGAATGTGTATCTACAGTTTGATTCATCTATTATCTTTTTAGTATGAATTTAATTAATCCAATGAATTATAATCACACCTATATGAAATGGTAATACCAGGTGGTATTCTAGTTTACTTTTTATGTCATTGGACTGTCACTTTAGTTGGATGTCCTCATAGGGATAGAATCACACACATTGATCTGCTTACAAGCTCAGTGGAGTATTTTAAGAGTATAATTTCTGTTGAGGATTCATTCTGGAGGAGCCCAATCATTTTTTGGTTGGAAGTTTTCCAGATTCTTATAGCTTGTCTGTTTCAGCAATGAACATAAAATGCTCGACTTGATAATAAATTACTTTGACTTGCTAGAAGATTGCTTGAATGCTATAATTGTTAAAGCTGTTTAATATTCCTTTCTTCCCGGAGATTTGCAGTTTTTGACCCGGCACACATATTAATCAAACTCATTGACTTAAAGTAAAATACCCAAATACCATTTGCATTACTTATCCTACATTTGAGCAAGTCCTGGTGGCAGACAGTAAATTTAAAATCTTTTTCCAATTAAAAAGGTTGCAATTAAGATTTATATTTCAATTTGATCATAGGAGAACTAAAAAGAAATTTATTGAATTAAATATCAAGGGGTGTTTGGATGTGCTTTTGAAAGTCATTATGTGAGGTAAAATAATCAACATCAGCAGATCAGATGTATTAGAACGGACGTAGGATATCGTGTTTGGATGTGTTTTTGCTGCTTAAAGTTGTAATAATCAAATGCTTGTTTAAGTGTTTGTCAAATTCTAATTATTTAAGGAACTAACAAATTAAATGACTAAAAAGAACATTCTCGTGAGAAAAGAAGGTGGTCTTGTTGAATGAGAGTAAAATCTCTCAAATTAGGTTACAAGATGGGTTAAATAGGTTTTCTTGTTTTACCCTTGATAATCAGTTTTGTTATAGCTGGTATGAAACTGATCATTGAACCCTTAAATGATCAGTTGATCAGAAGCAGCATCTGTTTATCCATACATTAAAACGCACATCCAAACACCCCCTAAAGAACGATTATAAGTGCATTATGTACTGATATTTAAACAATAAAGAAAAATCAAATAGGAGGGAATAAACCAAAACGGTAAAAAAGTGAAATAGAAAGAAAACAAAGACAAAGGAAAAGTAAGAAGCAAGGGAGTACCGTGTCAAAAACCATACGAAACCTGCATTGGTAAAACTTACCAGTATGGATAGATAAACAAAAGACTTATATTTGAATGCACGTGGCTGAACCATTCAGTGGCTCGTTAAGATCTAGACAAACAGCCTGTTGAACAACCCTATTACTCATTAGGAGATGTTCAAATCAATGATAGAAGATAAAAGTGGTGTTCTGTTATTAATTGTTAACCAAAATGGTAATCTAATAGAGCTTTCTTCAATTTTATTTCCTTTTCTCATTGCATTTGAACAGTTCGACCTGATATTGTGGCAAGTAATGTGTTCTGTATACATGATTAATTGTCATTTCAGGATCTTGAACGAATCATATCGGCAAATGGTGGAATCCGAGAGAAGGAGCCATTTTACCTTGCAAAATTCCATAACGAAGAGGTACAATGATCTAAGAATCTGGAACAACTCTAGTTAGATACCACTGTACATAAGTAACACTTTTGCCACAGATTTCTGTCGGTAATTTGGTCCATCTGTAGTTACTTCCCTTTTTAGGATATCCTGTATTCTATAGTTTTTCTATGGCCATCCTTGAGAAGTGATTGTTTCCCTTAAAAAGCAATGACATATTTCCGGATATTAATCATTCTGTTTAGGCCCACCACTCTTTAAGAATCCATCATTGGGGTAGAGGTCATGCCTCTTAGCATCTTACCTTCCCCAAACCCCACCCCCAAGTTGGATATAATGAGTTAGCTTAGTTTGGTTACTCTAAGAATCCACAGGATAAGAGAGTAATTAACTTTGTAGGTGAAGGATCGTGTGAGAGAAAGAGTTAAGATGAGAAGCATAAGAAGGGATATGAACCCTTGATCACTTTTAATCTCACACCCACCCATGAATTGCGCTCCTTGCGAGAATTGATCCGGTACATCTCACTAGTGTTGATCTTCAATTAAGATTGATCCAAGGGTCCAGATCCCGTGTAACGCTTCTCACCATTACTTCTCTTCTCACCGGAACCCAACCCTAAGTTCGTACATCTCAAAAAAGAAGTCCAGTTTTTCAAAATCGAACCAACCTTGTATTCAAACTTAACAATTTCTTTAATAGTTTTTATAGTTCTAATGTATTTATCAATCTTTTTGACGAAGAAGAAAAAATCCATCAACTTTATTGTAAAAGAGAAGTCAAATATGGTGCCACTTGTATGGGTGACTGACCGGAGATGGAATTTTGCCGGATAAGTCAGTCTAGGAATATAGTCCATTAACTGTAATACCTGTATGTATTAATATAAGTGTTCTAGCTCTACAAAACTTAAGGACTTTATATATCTTTCTTCTGGTTTAGACCAGGAATAGAATTTATTTATGTTTCTTGTAGACTTGAAATAATTTCCTTCGAGGATTTGATTTGCTTGTTGATATCCAAAGGGTAGAGACTGTTTCCGTGAAGACACCCGTCAAAACAATGGACCATGAAATGGCTGTTGTATACCGTCTTCACAAATCTCATTTCAAAGCCTTAAATTTAGTACATAATGGGAATCTGAGTTGATCTGCTATAATTTCTATGGCAGCCTGTGTTTGGGAACTTGCTTGAAGATGGGAATGGATCACAAACTGCCCTTTTATCTGCAGCAAACTAGGAAAGCCTTCCATGACGACACAGAGGGAAGTATGCTTGCATAGTATCATTTATTTTTTCTGATTAATTTGATGTTTAAAATGTTGTATGTATATTAACTATTAAGGGTGAGAAGAGGAGAGATCTGTGATAAGTTGTATGTGTTAGAGGTGTAGGGAGTTTGAAGGTGAGAAGAGGTATAACCATTTTTCCTTCTCATTTGATACAGATATCATGTTGTAGAGGAGACTTTGTTTTTCTCTCTTTCTATTAAATACAATGGGGATTAATACAATGCATCAGCAAGTTTCATTAAGTCAACCCGAGTTTAAATCTTGCCATCTACATATACGATTGTGATCACTACAAGATTTATCTAACGACTTAGTGTCGATATAAAATCATCGACCTTTATATTCGTGCCCTTTGATAGAAACTTCATGCAAATCGGAGGGCTCATCTTCACCAAAGCCAGTATGGATTTGGGGACGGACCAGAGCCCTTCGCCACAGATCAAACCAGAAGCCACCGCTGGTCCAAAAGCATCGGCTTCTACTTTATTCCTCTTCTCCCATATGAACAGTATCAAGCTACCAACGCACATGTCGATGGCGAATGACGTTCCGATGTAGAACGGAATCGCTATCGCCATTGGAATCGGGATAAACCGCGCCCATTTCTTGGGAGCAGTGTCTCTGGCGATGTTTATAAGGATCGCAGCCGCGAAAAACCCGTAGCAAAGCGACAAACAATGCTTTGGGAGCGAGTCGAATCCTTCGACACCCAAAATAGAAAGGTTTCGGTACACGACCGCGTATGGTGCAGGGTATTCCGACCCTTGAGTGCCGAGATCAGGGAAAGCACTGTAAAAGATCCAGAACACACACGGTGCGATGATGCAGCCCATAGCGGTTCCGATCACTTGGCTCACGAACATGGACCGGGGTGAAGCCAGGGTCATGTAACCGGTCTTGAAATCCTGCATTAGATCCGAAGCCGTGGACACTATGTTCATCATCACACCACAAGCGGCAAGCCCCGCCAAGACACCACCTTGAGACTTCCCGGCCCACGCCCCGATAACAAAAATCGCCAACTTCCCGTAGGTCGACGCGAGCGACCAATCAGTAAGGCCGCACCCGTAAGCGTTACAGAACGCTAATGCGGGTGCAAAAAAGTAAATCACGAGCACGTAGTACCATTCGAGTTGCGGGAATATTTTAGGGAGCACGGTCGTGGCAACTGCAGCTATCGCGACGTATCCGCCAGCGGCTAGCCATGTCGGTATCTGGTCCTTAAGAAAGACTTGCTTCCTACGTTGGTCATCAAAAGAAGTAACCGCACCATCCGGGGTCGAACCATCCGCAGCCACCGGAAGAACCGTACGCAAACCTTTGTTCTTAAACTGATAATACAGCCCGATCCCAGTTTTCCCGAGAACTTTACCGAAGTTGTAGAGTCCATCACCGATGATCATTGCTATGGCGGTGAAAACCTGCAATTACCATCGTTAACGATTACAACAACGACATTATATAAAAGATATCAGATAAGATAAAAAGACTATATTACCCTGTAACCTTGGATGCCATGGAAGTTATTGGGCTTGAGACCAGCTTTATACCAGTCACCTTCTTTCTTTTCAATGAGAGGCCACATGATCCCCCATGAAAGGATTGCACCAAGCAACAAAGAGACGTTTATAAGGTACGGACATATCATCCCTACCCCAACATACATGGTTGAGAAATCGAAGAAAAACCTGCAACAAAAATGGGTTTATAGTATCGGCCGATTCAGGATTTTCGTCGAGCAGCTGGTGGATCAAAACTGACGAATTCCACCGTTTCGATGGATTTTTTAAGTTTTTAGTTGATATGGAGGACTTTTTCAGTTTTTTGCTCGTCTTTTGTTGTATTTTCAAATACGTAATTATGTTTACAAGACCAAACAATTTTGAGTTTTTGTACAATAACCTTACAATAAGTTGTTATGACGAAGTTAGGGTTTACCAAATACTTACCCGGTAAGTGTTTACCAGTAAAATTTAACACTGTTATTTACTTACTGTGTATGATTTTAATCCACCAAAACGACATCGCATGCAACAATTTACCCAGTAAGTGCTTATCGTGGTAAGAGTCGCCTCCCTCACGGGGTAAGACTCTTGGTCTTTGTCTTGCTCTTTCCGGATAAGATTCTTGGTCCTTACCATATTCATCCGGTAAAGTAACGTGACTTGATAAGCACTTACCCGAGTAAGCATTTGGTAAACGGCCCCTATAAACTACCATTAATATAGAAATGGGTGAGTAAAAGAAGGGTAAAAGCGTAATTACATGTTCTGGTAAGCTTTGAGGCCAAAAGTGGGGAAGTTTTCAAAGCCACAGTCATCACCAGAAGCAAAGAACCATTGGAAGAAACTCCACAAGAAGCTGAAGGAGAAGAACTTGGCTAATGCACTCACTTGTTTCCTACATCAAATTTATTACAATCAAAGACGAAATTATCTATACTATATTATAAAGTATTTGATAAAAACTCTTAAAAACAATTTTTTATGCATGAAGTACTGTATATTAATGCATATTACTTAAAATTCGAGATTACAAGTAAATTATGTATAAGTACAACTTATTAAAGCTCCATGTTTGAACTCGTATAACTAACTGCGGATAAACATAATCATAAACATCTCATTTTAAAATATAAAAAATCTAAAATATAATTAGGATAATTATCGAGTTCTAACAAAATAATTAACTATTATCTTTATAAGAAAATTATATTACTAAACCAAATATAAATTACTTCGTTATTGAACTTAAATTAAATTACAATTAAACAATGATTTGAAAAATTACATAAAATATAAGAAATTTTAAATAGTTAATTTGATACTAATATCGATATAATTTTGTCAAATTTTTATTGATAAAAAATCATCATTTTTTCAAAATCATATAAAACCATATTATAACATCGATTGAAATAAAAAAATAAAATAAAATATTAAAATCAAAATGTATCTCGTTAGATCACAAAAATATACTTTTAGTATACATTATTATTGGTTGAGAGATAGTAGCATACTTGGCAAGCTTGGCACCCTGGGGTGTGTGGAAGCTGTTAATGAGGTGAGCAGTTGCAGTTCCACTAGGGTAGGTCAACTTGAAGTCAATGATCATTATCTGTAAATCAAAAAAATAATTATTAAAAATAACAAACAATTTTATTTCATTTTACATCAAACCATTCAGCAACTTTCAAATAACCTCTTTAGAGTCAAATTGATTATACCAAAGAAAAAAAATTCAGTATTTTATTCTCCTTAATTTGGTATCCATATTGTTATATTTCATCTGTTTGTCCGCCTTTACTACCTTTCGAAGAGGAACGACAGAGCAAAGGCCGATGAAGCTAACGATGAATAGAAAACCGATCATCCAACTCAAGCTCGGGTTCTTGATATTCATATCTCGCAGTGGCGAGTTTGCGTCCGATGACTGATCAGCGATAGTATCACTCATTCCAAATAGGTAACTCCCAAATCCTCCTGCCAAATTAGTCGTCAAGTCGTCAAGAATAATAAATAATATTTGTATAAAATATTAAATTAAAAAAATAAGTCTGTTTCAACTTGAAAACGACATTTTCTTGCTTTTAAGCCGGCCTAGATGTTGATCTCCATGGCTTTTTTTTTTTTTTTTTTTGAAAACCGATGTTTGTGTTGTATGGTTTTTTGGTCGATTCTTTGTCTGGCAATTAATTTATGGGGCTCATGATATTAACCGAGGTACGTACAGACTGAGTTGACCCATAAGGCCAACAATGACATTCATGACCCATAAGATGGCGTTTGTGTGCGGGCACGTGCGTGCATTCTATACGTATAGAAGAAAGAGTTATACCACTAAACGCGATTCCTGAAGTGGCAACAACACACGTCTGAATAACAGTATTCTCCTGCCTCGTAAACGGCTGCTTCAATAATCCGCACTGCTCCAACGCCTTGGTCCACGTCTTAACAAAGAAAAATCCTAGTAAACCCGCAGCCACATTAAGCGAAGGGATGATCCCGGTCGTCAAATTGAGTTTCATCACGATAAAACTAAACACGATGCCCAACACCCCGCTCACCACAAACGCCCTCACCGTCAATTGCCCCTTCCACGATGGCACCATCGTGTCCCTGAATACCATCTCCACTGACGCCATTTCTTTTCCCTTCAATCCATCGTTATCTTCTACCGTTTTCCCCTCGGCCTCCAGCAAACTCTCCTCACTTTTCGTCGTATGGTCGCCATTTTCGAGTTCTCGAGAGTTCTCGTTGGCCATCTTTGATTTCTACACGATCAAACTCATTGCTCTATGGGTATATATATATATATATATATATATATATATATATATACACAAGAATATGATCAAGATGTGTATGTCTCGTATGTATATAATTATAATTGTTGTTGTGTTTGTGTCTGACCCGTTGACGTTAGATTTTATCGTAGTCGAGCTTTGTGATCATCGCTCTGATTGAAGTTGATTTGGTGACGGACGACACGCCAAGTTGATCCAACAACCACTTCTCTTGGATCTATGCTTTCGTTTTTATTTTTCGAATAATACAAATTTAAGTACTCGGGTAACCGGTTGAAGCATTAACCATTTATCATGCTGAAGTGGCGAGTAATATGGTATTCAACTCATTATCATTTGCTGACGTGGTTAGTGACATGAATTTTTTTAATCTAAAATTAGTCTTCAACTGGTTATCCGAGTACTTAAATGTTTAAAATTTTACATCTTAGATACCAAAATGAGTTTTAAAAGTACATTACTCAAAATATGAATCAAGTTAAAATATTTTACTTTTTCATACAATTTGTCTTAAAATTAATTTATTTTTTAAAGTAATGAAATGAAAGCCTTTTGACAGAAGTTTTTGCCCATTCGGCTCCTTTATGCCTTTTTAAATGTTCAAGTTGTTGCAAGCTAATTTATAGATTAGCTGATTTGTTTTTAATATAACTCAAAGCGTTACTTAACTCGCTTAGCTTTTTATCGATAAAATTTAACACTGTCATTTACTTATCGAATAAGATTTTAATTCATTAAAATGACATCATATGCAGCATTTTAACCAGTAAGCGTTAACCATGGTAATAGTCGTTGTCATCACTTACCGGGTAAAACTCTCTCGCCTCTCGGTCTTTTCTATTGCCCTTACCAGGTTGATTCTTTATACTTGTCATATTAATCCGGTAAGGTAATGTGGTTTGGTAAGCATTTGGTAAATGACTTCTTAATTGTTAGTTAATAAGTCAGGTGATAAATTAGTCACGTTTACTGAATAATTGAAAATGATCATAAAAAAGGCTTGTTAAAAAATTGTGAATTTTTTGGTCAATTTTTTTCTTAATTTGAATGCTTTGACAAGATAAAAAAATAACTCTTCCAAATGCTTTTTTTATAACCATGAATTTTGGGTCAGTTTATTCATACCGGTTAATCTCCCAGATAATCACAAATGGACTAGAGTCATCGCATGAACCTCCATCGCCACAAGTGTTTTGACAGCGCCTAGATTCGAATTTGGAAAGATGAGATTTCCACTACATCCCCTTGAACCTTAACCAGTGCACCAGTGATGGACCCAGGAATTTTTCTGAGTCACGGTTTAACTCAGGGAAAAGTCAACACGGTTTGACTCGAGGAAAATTCAATTAATTCAATTAAAAATAAAAATTCATACAAAATATGAATTGTTAAATTTAATTAATTGTTTTCTTTTCAAGTTATTTGGGATAAACATGTAGTGTGAGACAAAAACCAAATATAAGATTAATGGATAAATAGAAAGAAAAAATACAAAAAAAAAAAAGAAATAAAAGTAAATGAAAAATAAAAGTGGATGCACAATTACGACCAGTAAAAAAAATTCCATTACGACAGGACAATCAAGCGGGTTCCCATGCACCCCCTACTCTATGAGTAGGTCCGCCCTTGCAGTGCACCACAACTAGGGGTGTACGTGGTTTGGGTTGGTGGTTTGAAACGTTTAAACAAACCAACCCAGTTACGAGGGTTTGAAAAAATACCAACCCGAGTCAACTTGTTAAAAAGTATAACACAACCCAACATTTGCAGGTTGGCTTGAGTTGACTGGTTGCCTGTCAATGTTTTTTAAATGATTGAAATTGAATTATTGATACATAAATACATATAACAAACTAATAAATTGTGTTCGAAAAAGATGGAGATATGTTTTAGATACTAACACTCATATTCGCTTAGTTTCACACAACTGTATGTATTACTTAATTAATTTTTTTGTTGCTATTAATTTTTTTTGTCAAAGACCTTCCAGCCTAGTGGTAAAGGCTTGGGTATGACATAGTCATGAACCCGAGTTCGAACCCTGGGAGGGGAGTGTTGGCGACATTTAAGTGGGGCCATGTTTAGCTCCAAATTTGTCGGGGATTAGTCGGGCTTTGGCCCGGACACCCTTACAAAATGTACGTCGTATAACAACATGTAAATGGAGAACAAGGATTAGGCAAGAAAAACCGATGCTCCAAAAATGACGAAAAACGAAAATACGACTCAAACTTGTAGACGTAGATAAAATTTGGAGAAATTAATAAAAATGACCATTTTCAGGCTATGATTTCATCTTTTAACTATTTCTCTTCTCAAATTTCAAAAATATCACTACCTCCACAGTGACACCTGCTCAACTTACCGAGGGGTCAAAAGGTAAAAGAAATTTGAAACAGATCCACAAGTACAAGAGCCAAATCTGTAAATTAGATAAAGGTCCACGAGTGGCGGGCGGAAGTGCTAGGACGAATTTATAGATTTGGTCCCTACACTTGCGAATCTGATTCAGAAACTTTTTTTTTTACACTTTGATCCCTCTGTAAGTTGAGAAGTTCCTATTTGCGAAGGTTATAACATTTTTGAAATATTGAAAGAGAAATGACTAAGAGATGAATCCAAAGTCTGAAAATGACATTTTTAATTAATTTCCCTAGGGGCCTCCTTCTACAACTTGTTAGTTCATGAGATCCAATTTAAACCCAAAAAAGTAGTTTACGAACACACTCTAAATCTACGAGATCTGTTATAACTTGTGAACACAAACTAAATCTGAACATATCACTTGTATTCACAAACTACACAAATTATTATTTTTTATACAGCTTTCCATTGATTTTGGGTAAAAGACCAAAAATGGATTAAAAAAAAAGAAAAAGTTTGTCATTTAACTGAATTTTTAACAGCCGTTAGAAAGAAGAATTAAATCCAAACGTTTTTTGCAAACTATGGTGATGATCTTATAGTTTCAAAACTACAGGGACTAAAATTGTTATTTTTCACAAACCATAAGGACCAGATTTGTAGTTTACTTTATATTTTATTTTTAAACCTTATCCTTGCCATGCACTATTACGATACATCATCATCGACTCGTCTCTATCGTCCACAACAGACCAAACGATGCCGTCTGCAACCTCTGGACCACAAACCCCTCATCTGCAAACCCTGCTGGAATCGGCACGACCGTTCCTCCGGCGACAATTCGAGAACGTCGATGTCAAACTACCCTCCCTCATCGCCGTCTTGAAATCCGTCGGAGCCGGCGAGTGCTGGCACAAGCACGGCAGCTTCCTCGATCATCTCGTTGATATCTATCGCATCCTCAAGCTATGGGGTGTGCCAGACGCGGTATGCCTCTGCGGTCTCTTCCATTCCGCTTACTCTAATTCTTACGTAAACCTCGCCATCTTCGACCCTTCGACTGGCCGCGACACAGTTCGGGAACACGTCGGTGAGGCGGCGGAGCGGTTGATCCACTTGTTCTGTGTCGTGCCTCGCCAACAGCTCATCCATGATGATCTGTTGTTCCAATACTCGGATGAATCGGAACTTGTTCAACACCTGAAGGATTCTGAGAGATCGTTGATTAATGCAAAAAAAGGGGTTTTGGAGATTGGGGATGAAATTCAAGGGTGGAGGAAGAAATTGCAGTCTATTTTGCCTGCAGATGGGATCGTACTGAAGCATATTAAAACAGGCGAAGACGTGCATCTGTCGAGGAAGGTAGTAGCGACTTTCCTGCTCATGACGATTGCCGATTTCAGCGATCAGCTGTTCAGTTTTCAGGATGTATTGTTCGATAATTCAGATGGAATGCTCAAGTTTTCCGGTAACGATTGGGCAACCGCGTTATGGCCGGGGGATGGAAAGCCAGGACTATGGATGAATTCCATATCAAGGATGGGAGCAATTTACACACTGATCGTCAGAGAAGAACAATTGTACTCGATCGAACAACCACAATTACAATCACCGTCGGCCAACAACCGAGATGATGAACTGGAGCTTGTGACACCACCAATTCTCGAAAATTGCACCAAGATTTTGAGCGCCAAGGATCAGATAGAGGCAAGAGATCTGTACTGGGAAGGTGTTTGTGAAGTTTCAAAGAGAGGGTTGAACGGGTGTGAAGAGCAATTGAAAAGGAGTTTGGAGAAGAACCCATTCGTGGGAGAGCCACATGTGGTTTTGGGGCAGATTTATCTTAGCCAAGGGAGGTTCGAAGAGGCGGAGAAGGAAGCGGAAGAAGGGCTGAAGCTTCTGTTAGAATGGGGAAGTCCATGGGATAAAAGAATGTCATGGGAAGGTTGGATTTCATGGTGTAGGGTTCTGGTCATGAAAGCCAAGGAGAAATCATGGCCGGAAACTTCTTGGGGAATCCTCAATTTGGGACTCGTTCGATGAGTAACTCGCAATGGCCGAGGTTCGTTTCCACAAATTAGTTCGAAATGCAGTAGCAGTAGTAAAATAAATCTATTTTCTGCATTCAAGAAACGATTCTCATGGCTTTTGCTAGCAATATTATCTTATAATCATGCCCAGATGCAAAATCTGTAGATAAAGATGAAAGTTTATGAAATAAATGGAAAATTTGTAAGAAAACAAAGTTAAAAGTTATGTTGGTATCAGCTGCTATCTATCATCTTTTACAGTTAGTGTGACTAGAATACATGAATCATGCCCAGATGCAACTTTCCTCCATTGATGATTATGGCTACTAAGGTTACTAGCTATGGTATATTCTAATTTTCAAAACAAATCCCATATTGTTGGTAGCTTCAAAAGCCAAATGGCGATTTTCTCCTGCTTCCGCCTTCTCCGTACTGTTCGTTCCATTTCCTGAGTTCGTTCATGCTTGCTGCATCGTAGGCAACGGATGGCCCGACCTACATTTTGAGGATGTAACATTAGTGAGCTATTAACAAAATTGGTTTTTATGTTTCCAAATATGGCTAAATATCATAATAAGCAAGGTTTATGGAACTCAGGTTTATAGGACCAAATAATTATGCATCCTATATATAGCAAGGATGATTTTAGACATCCGAACAAGTTTTTTATGACACTTTCGAATTATTTGAGAAAGTATTCTAAAAATAAAATTGTCGAGTATAAAAAAATGTGTTTATAGAACATCTTTAAGAAATGTCATAGGTATCCTGTAAAAATAAAAACTTGTTAGGATACTTAAATACGTCCTAAAATCCTCTTCTAACACTTCTACATTGGACGCACAATTGTGTGGTAAACTGGAGCCATTTGAAGTAGTGTATCGAGACATTTAGACATATTTGACGCCCTGTAAAACCGATATTGTGGTAACGAATGCATTACCTGAATTCTAGGAAATGAAGAGACAGACATACAAATCACGAAGATAGTTTACCTTGGCTTTGGATTGAATGAAATCATCCAAATGAAGCGGTCTTAATGCTGGAGTTGTATCAGATTTCTTTCCCTGCAAAAATGTTGCTTAAATATTACATATGAATGTGCACGAACACACACGAGTCGAAACCACAGATGCAAAATGAGATCGACGAACATATTTTTGTAGGTTTGAACTGATTCAGGGCAAGGGAAGAATGGAACAGAAACGCAAACACGATGAGTTATATGGTCGAAGAAAAGCTTACTTTCTTTTCTTCATCAAGAAGTTCTTGAACGGGTCTATATGCTGCAGCAATACAAAGGTTCTGGAAAAAAAAATATATAATCAAAAAAACGTAACAAAGCCGAATTAGTTGCAAAAGGAGAGATTACCTTCAAGTCGCTTCCCGAATATCCTTCAGTAGCATTTGCAAGACTTCGTACATCAAAACCGGGTTCTACGTTCTCTTGAGCGAGAAATATTTTCAGTATCTTCAATCTATTGTCGGCATCTGGCAGGTCCACGTAAATCCTAAGAACCAACTCCATAAGCATCATATAGGCAACGGAGATATTTGACTCTTCAGTCATAACATAGGCAATGTTCTTTAGGGTGACGAGACTGGACAAGACTGGATAAGAAAGAGTGAGGTAGACGGGTGAAAGAATTCAAGCAGGGCGGACCTATGAAGGACCCAGGGGGTCCTGTGCACCCGCTCAACCGCTTTTCACAAGTAGAATTATTTTTGGGATATGAAAGGTGCACACGCTGAACTTTGAAGGGTGCTCCAGGAAATTAGAAAACACAAGGGACATCAACCAAAAAACTGAAACGGTGGAATTCAACTAAAAACACATTGGGCTTATGTCTAAGACATAGTCTTGCGTCTGGCTCAAAAGGTCGATTCCATTTAAAAATATATATTTTATTCCCCAAATCGATAAAATTGACTTTCCCCGGTAAACCGGCGACTTTACAGGCCTTTTATCCACCTTAAAGATGCACCTGCTCCTGGGTCCGCGGAGGTTTTAGGATTTAAATTTGATCTAATTTATCAATCTTGTCTCTATCTCCCTAGTTTTTGTTCCACCTATTTTGATGAGACAGAAAAAATGCATTGTTTCTCCCCCTCGGGTCTTGTCCTATCTCGTGTACCAAACGCACCCGTAATACTATCTTACCTTCGTGGTAATCGACGAATCACAGCATCATCAAGATCAAACGGTCGGTTTGTGGCACCAAGGATGAGGATCCTCTGACTATCTTTCGATCTCAATCCATCCCATGCTGCCATAAACTCATTCCGCATTCTTCTGGTAGCCTCATGCTCGAAACCCCCTCCACGGGCACCAAGCAAACTGTCAACCTGTTTAACATCCACCAAACAATATCAAACTAAACTTGAGAATAACAGAAAGATATCAAGCTAAAAAGTATGTATCCATTTTAAAGAACAGAATGTCAAAAAGATACATACATATATACATACATAGAGGAAAGCCCATTTGAGAACTGTAAATATTTTAAGACCGAAGAACCAATGAATACTATGAATCATAACGAATATTCATGTAATTCATTATGAATATTCATTGGTTTCGGCTCATAAAGTAACTCTCACCTCATCAACGAAAACAATTACAGGAGCCAACTTGCTGGCAAACGAGAAGAGGGCCTTCGTAAGTTTTTCAGCATCACCAAACCACTGCATAAAAGAACAATAGGAATGACAAGTCGATATCAGTAGAGGAATCATTCGGCCTATGCACGAAAATATCACATGGGTAAAGCGATATTTGTTACAAGCTATAGAAAATAGGTTGATTTCCGGTACTTTCTTCGTGTTTCCAGCAAAAAAGTGTCTTAAATATTGTAACGGAGTATCATTACCTTAGATGTAAGTGTGGAACCAGTTATGCTGATAAAGTTGGCTCCGGCTTCAGTTGCAAGTGCCTTGGCAAGTAGCGTTTTCCCGGTTCCAGGAGGCCCAAAAAGCAATATCCCTTTGCAAGGCTGACAAAAGGCTTTCGTTAGCTACTCAACGAGCAGAATGACCAAATAACACGCCAAAGAATAAAACAAAGTACCCGCAATAGATTTCCACGAGAGAAAAGTTCAGGTCTTTTCATTGGAAGAATGGCGAGTTCATGTAGCGCTGTCTTCACATCCTCAAGAGCACCAATGTCGTCAAACTTGATACCAATTTCACCAGGAGGGACTACTGCTGATATAAAGTTGCTCTCGTACTCATCCTTGGCGAGGTTCTGTCACAAGTCACCGTGTTACATATGTTTACAGTTGGCATCACAAACCAAACGAGCACAGTATATCCCACCTAGAAGTGGGGTAAGGGAGGGGTAGGATGTATGTAGACCTGACCTCCAAACCAAACGACCCCAATATATCCCGCCTGGAAGTGGGAACTGGCAGAGGTAAGAGGTACGTAGACCTAACCTCCAAACCAAACGAGCCAAGTATATCCCACCTGGAGGTGGGGTCTAGAAGGGTAAGATGTATGTAGACCTGATTCCCAAATCAGACAAGCCCAATATACCTCGCCAGAGGTGGGGTCTGGGAGGGTAAGATGTATGTAGACACGACCTCTAAATCTAATGGGTCCAGTATATCCCACATAGAGGTGGGGTCAAGGAGGGGTAAGATGTACGTAGACCTGACCTCCAAACCAAACAAGCTCAGTATATCCCACCCGGAGGAGGGGTCTGGGAGGGTAAGGTGTACATAGACCTGACCCCCACCTCACAAAGTAGAGCGGTTGTTTCCATGAAGACCCTCAAAGAGATACATAAAGGACTGAAGTTTTCTTAACAGACCTTTAGGTTTTGTGCAGGCTTCTTAGATATCGATTCCTGCTCGGTTAGCCGCAGGATTGCAACTTCAAGGCTGCATGTTGAAAAGGTTTGTCAGCTTAGAGGAAACAATGCAAGAAAGTCCAGAGCCAATTGTTTTAGCTCCATATTAATTCATTTCTCAACTCCATTTTGTGGTACAAAAGTTCCCAATTCATAAACCTGGGCCCACAAAAAACCCGAACCCAACCAAACCAAACCAAAAGAGCCGGCATATCCCACCCATAGGTGGGATCGGAGGGATGTACATAGACCTAATCTCTACGCTCAAAGAGTAGAGCGGTTGTTTTCGTGAAGACCCCCGACCTGAGAAGAAGTGCGAAAATAAAGCGATAGATTAAATGAAAGAAAACAGATTAACCGACCGAATAATGGCTAAGCAAAAATACTTAAGAGGGATGAATACCTTTCGCGGGGCAAATTTAATCTATCCGACTTGATGGAAGGAAGAGCACAAGTGGATAAGTAATGATTTTTGGCCCAGCCAACAACGTTCTCAGCTTCTGCAAATTTAAAACAGTTTTCCAATATTAACATTAAGCTATAACCAAATTCTTACGAAGTTCGAATCCACAAAGTCGAGGGTTGGTTTCGACTCGAATTAGGCTACATATCCACCAATAGGACCCATCTCAAAACCAATTGGTTGAAAATGACCCGATATTATGTATTCCAATGGATATATATTCATTGTCCTAAGGGCAAGATTGATCTTCCTAGAACCAGAACTTTAGCAAACGATGATTACTGGAGTAGAAAACGATAATTAAATTAAGATGATAATTCATGAATTTCACACAATTATCATTTATATAGTTTTACACGAATCTTACTCTTCGTTGTTAGTATCACTCCATCGGTGTTCACTTCCAAGAGATCCATGCAAGACAGTTCATTTTCATCAAGAACCTGAAACATACGTGTAGTTTAGATACTCGTAGACAAAAGACATCAACCAAAAATGAGTAACGCATTCATGGATTCATGGCATTATAGTGCAATTTTGTGGCCCAATGGTACCGGGTTTACTGGTAGATCCCAACCTCCCTCGAGGTCAAGGGTTCAAGTCTCACCAACGGTGAGGAGTGGGTGTGAGTTTTGCACATATAAGTATTATATACTTCCAATATTTCACTTTAATAGAAGATATATAGTTGTATACCTTATGCAATTCATTTATATTACTTCGTGATATAACAATTCGTCTGTCTTCATCAATTTGTTTATTGAATACTCTAAGTGGGTCTTCTTCCTGCAAGAAAAAAGACGAATAAAATGGAAGGTAACTGTAAGTTTAATAAGAATGGCTCTATACTTAAGCTTCCGGCTTAATAAAAATGGCTGTCTACTTAAGTGTACGATGATTAGTTTTGCAAGTGGGCACGTATTCTTGGAACAAACTAAAAATAGAAATGTGGACACTTGTTTTGGGACGGAGCGAGTATAAATATACCTTTGGAGGATGCAGACACATAACATTTGTGAATAGCTTATAAATGTCGTTATCCTCTGGCCTTCTCGTCGGCTTCAGTCCCTCAGTAAGTCGCTTCAACGAGAGAGGCTGAAGAAAGAGTGAAAGTAACAATTGCAGTTAATGAATGTTTTGGTCATCAATAGAAATAGAGGGAGGTTCATTTAGGAACCCGGGAACCACCCTTTTTTGTAAGTATTCATGATGAATATCGTAACAGATATTCATGATGAATAATATTCATCATGAATACACACAAAAAAGGGTGGTTTCTGGTTCCTACAATATTCAAGGTTCCTAAATGAACCTGTCCCAACAGAAATAATAACACATATTATTCTGGAAAAAATTAGCGAATTTACCAACTTCGCAAGACGGCCCAAATTTGGAAGGATCATAGTCTGCTGACAAAAGAGAAGGCAAAAGAAAAGCATTACCAAATCTTTTTAATACGGAAGAACGAAATAGAAGAATCTAGAAACACATACTACCTCCGTACCAAAATAAATGTCCACGATGAAAAAGGCACATAGTTTTAGAAATGTGTAACTATTACATGTTTTGATTAACTAAATGACAATTTTACCCTTACAATAGAGGAAGTAATGAATTTCTCGACCTCATAATTAAGGATAGAATTGGAAAGTCGACACGGAGGAAGCATCACAAAAGAACCTTAGCAACAGAAAGGAAACACACAAGCATGATGCAGAATTCAGCTTACAAATTTTTCTTTCTCCTTTGATCCAGTAGCGACTTTGTTTTGCCCACATATCAAAACAACGGGCCCCGAAATCTGGTCAAACATTTCCTGAAGCCTATGCACAAACTCTTTGCGGTTTGACTTTGAAACAGCTCGCGACAACCACAAAGATGAGTCTGGAAAATACACAATCAGAGGTTGCACAGAGCGCAACACCTGCAATCATGATAAAGGGAAATAACAAATAAAATAAGCGTTTTACTTTTCATGTTTTTTTTAAACTTAACATGGTAAAAAGAGCAAATACTTTCAAAACCTTAATTTTGAAACCTCAGACGTGATATCTCAAACATTTAGACCAAATACAAAAAATAGGAACTGGACCAAAGTACATCGAATTTTCATGCATTCTCATATATATAAACCAGGTACCTAAATGTTTGAGATGTCAGATCTAAGGAAACAAAATGAAAGTTTCGGAAGTACGTTACACAAAATAGGAATCGAATCAGATTACGTTGCATTCTCATGCAATTTGCTTTAGTAGAAACTATAGAAGCGCATATGTAACCTCGGATAGTGCCTCCATTGCAATATAAGAGTCCTCGGCTTCAGTATCAAAATCACGCTCGACATGCTTAGCTACAAACAAACAATAGATCCCTCATCACCACAACAAACCGACAAAAATTAGGATTACGAAAGTCATTATATCTCTAGTCATGTATAGTTCATAACGAAAAGAACATGACTAATCTTGTACTGTTGATCATGAGCAAGTAAACTGATCAACTAGTCAATAAAGGCTAGGCCTTGGGACTCCTCCCTATCGGTCGCTAAATCGAGATTCCTCATGTTGTGGATTTTCCGGGCTAGTATCTTCTGGGCCCCATGGGATTAGTTAAGGTGCACACAAGCTGGCTTGGACACCCACTGTTACCCAAAACAAACAACAATAGAAGACTCGACTTTGGCTTTAAGATGATGTTTCAAGTCACTAATTTAACTTTTATCATGTCTAAAAAGGTCTTATATTTCTCTCCACGGATGTATTTAACTTCCATCATATCTAAAAAGTTGCATTTAAAAGCATCGATATTTCTTGCAAAACTCAATAAGATATGCAAAATTTACCATGAATCCAGTATATCGATGGTTTAGCAGATTGCTCAAGTTTCTCGTTGTCTTTCACGTCGTCTGCCTTATCTTCTGTACTATCCAGAATAACCGCAACTCTTTCCCCATTAATCTCATAAATCTCCCCACGTTGACCGGTGGCTAAGGGTCTGAAGAAGAAGAAGAAGAAGAAGAAAATTTACAAAAGAATGAGATTAAATCCAATGTTCATAAATAGCTATTTGTCGCTTGTAATGAAATTCCAAAAATGCTAGATAACGACAAGAGCTGAAAAAGAGAATAACTTTCAGAAACTGCAACCAAAGATAGGTAAAACCAAGTCGGTAACCATATGCTTCAACAGTTGGCAAGAGGGCGAAATCAAGAACAGTTAAGCATAACAGAAACAGACGAAGCTATGATGATCAAAATGCACCTTTTTGCCATGCATAAACAACACTTTTGTGGGTAAACACAAATATCTTAAATGAATTTCTACGTTATAGAGGATGAACATCACTTATCCTTGAAAAGCAATTCAAGGAAAGGAAGCATGTTGAAAATTTGTTTCATGAAGTACCAAGAACTGCAGCAACTAAAAGCATGTAGAAAATAATTTCACCCACAAAATTCATTCTGATCCTCCCTCTCGTCGACCCTGATGCCCTCCTCCAGGTTCTTGTCTCCACTTCCTGATGCATCCAAAAATCCACATTGGAATCACGTCAACCCATTAACTACCATTTTGGCTAGAATCCATGCTAAGTGTCCCAAAACCAACCAAACGAACCCAATCTATCCCACTCGGAAATAAGGTCTGGGATGCTAATCATTCCCAGAATATCCTTATCCTACATCCAACTCAAGTCATCCTTGGGTGTTCGCATTTCCGCTACTTTCAATCTTACAGACCTGCCTCATGTTGTGGCAAACATTCTAACCATAAACCGCATGCCACTGTCCTTTTGGTGTAAACTTCTCCTTCAACTTAAGTCATTTTTTTCTGTTCCATAAGACTCCCTTTTCATGCCACCATTTCATCTATCCTACTATTACAAAACCACTAACACTCTCGCCCCGTACATCTTGTTAAATCGGCCCTAAATTAAACACAAAAAGAAAGGAATCTTAGGCACCTGATATCCCAACATACGATGAACATCCAAACACCTAGCCCGGTCACCATAATAGAAAGAAACTTGTGTCAACTTCCCCAACTCGCCCACAGGCTTTCTATCTTTGTCAATCATCACTTATGATCTTCTCATTGTTATCCCAGCACCTTTTATATTATTTATTTTTTAAAATATGTACTTTCCGGTATCCATAGGTGATTGTGTTGTTTTTTGATACTTCCCCAATCTTGTGCTTTAGTGTTTTCCTTTTACTAATTTTCAATTAATCACCCATTCACAATTGGGATTTCTTTGTTCTGCCCAAGAAATATATATATATATATATATATATATATATATGAAATTTTAGAATCTTGATGTACATGCATTTATCCTCACATCATGGAAATCGTTGGCGAAAAATGAAATAAATTGGATTAAAGAAATGCATCTTAAACTTCACTTGTTTTTTTATGCAAGAGAATGTCTAAAAGGGAAAGAGATTGGGTCCCTAAGAAATTAATTATGTTCGTCAATTGAATACGAGAAAACATGGCATATATGATTCTTCCTCCATACATCAGTACGACTTACCAACCCACCTGCGCGAGATAACGGTATATGCTTTTCTTGTACCATCAGATGTTGCTATCGACCCCAATAAAATCCTGTGATGCATTGGATATGTAAGTAAGCATGTGAGTCTAAAGTCGTACTTGATGGGGATTCTTAAGCTGAACGGCTTTTCAACAGATGCACATTGATACCACAACCCTTTCTCAGCATGATAGGTTTTTTACCTACTTTTAAGTATGCTAATCCCTAGATCATTCCAAACTAGAGTAGTCTTAATACCATCAGCTAGACTACATTTTTTGCAACCTCAAACATGCATTGGCGTTGAAGATCACGAACAACCCCACCCCACAAGAAAAAGAAATCGCATAGCTAAATGCAGGCGCGGATTTAGGCTTAGGCTAGGGGGTGCCCATGCACCCGCTCTAATTTGATGTGTGGTTCCTTAAGGAGCCGTTTACCAAACGCCTATTGGGTGCACTAACCTTACTGGGTGAGCATGGCAAGGACCAAGACTCTTACCCGGTAAAAGGCATAGCAAGGATACCCAATAAGTGAGGGAGAAGACTCTTACTTAGTTAGCGCTTACCAGGGAAGAGACGCTTACCAAAAATCCATTTTGATGGCCGAGAATGTTACCCGACAAGGTAAGCGAGGGTGGTGACTCTTAGGGGTAAGCATTTGGTAAACGGCCCCTAAGTTAATAAAAAATGGTTGCAGCCTACTGGTAGTGTCATTGCATGTAGCATTACAGGTTGCAAGTACGAATCCCTTTGGCTCTTTTTAAATTTTTTGGTAACAAAAGCAAGAAAAAGAAAACACTTGCAAAAAACCAACTTTGTCGTTTTTAATTTAAACCGTACTTTATATAATTAACTTTTGCTTTATTTTATATTATGTTAATTATTTTGTGCCCCCGCTCAGAAATTATTCTGGATCCACATGCCTAAATGTTTAAAAATCACAACCAATATCCTATAAGTAAATGTATTACTAGTTGTGTACCCCGCAATGCGGCGGAAGCCATGAATTTTAACGATTTTGAAGTTCCACTGATTTTATAAGATAAGATTTAACGATGATATAGGTTACACTTGGTCTTTACATATTAATACAATTTGAATAAATAAGAGTTATGGTTCCAATTACAGACTATCGATGAAAAACATTGTATGACAGTTTAAAATCCAATATATTTAAAATCCAACATATTTAAACGACTCAACAAATGTGTTCGATTTACACCAAGAGCAAAGAATCAAGAAACTTGAGTTTTAAGATAAACACTCAAAACCAATAAAGAAAACTATAAATTTAACAGATCATAAGCCATGAAAAGACAAAAAAAGTTGGGTTTTAGAATGAAATTTCAACTGTTTACCCTCTTTCTTGTCTAGAAACTCAGATTAAGGTTGAATTAATACATGTATATATATTTCAAAAAAAACCCAAGAACATATTAATTCAAAACATATTATACAGTGCAATTTAGATAACCTAACCCCAAAATATATAGTATTTATATAAATAAATAACTATAAAAATATAAATCGTAAATATTAAAAATTAAAAATATTTTTTCACAGTATATATAATATATAAATATAACTAAGTCAAAAACTATTCAATATTGGACTCATTTCGAAGGTATTAACGAGACGATTATAATGGTGTAACTTGTTAAAATAAAAATGTATTTTTTAAACATGTTTTAATTGATATACGATTATGTATGTTAATTTGATAAATGTTTAAAATGAAACATTTAAAAGTGAAAGACATAAAGTAAATTAATTAATTAATTATAGGGGTATAAAATGTAAATTTAAAATTATAATTTTAAAAAAATCGGTTGTGAGAGGGTGAGTATATGTGAGAAGAGAAGGGGGTGAAAAAGTGAAAAAGTGAGTATAAAGGGTATTTTGGTCATTTAGAATTTTAAGACTTTAAGACTTTTGTTAAATTTGCTTAATAAGATAGTATAGATATGCTCACAAGCAAAAAAAAAAACATAAGTCCACACGGAGAGACCACGTAAGAAGTAAAGTTCACATTCACTACCCACTCGCACAATGAATCTGTAAAGCATCAAGTAGAATCTCTACTGGAGCAAAGAAGAACATTGTTTATATAGCAATATTTCTAAGAAGTTCTGCACAAAAAGAAATGGCAAATAAAGTATATACAGCCACTAGTTGGGGATGGGAACTACTAATGAAGGATACAGAGAAAAACAATTACCTGGTATCTTCTTCCACATGGACGGAAGGCCCAACGTACTTGACACGATCCCCTAGTTAAGAGTATATAAGAATAATTAGTTGTCCCCACGCTAAACAAAGAATAGGAAAAACTACTAATCAATGAAAACCCAAAAGGGAATTCGCAAAATTCTAATGGGATGTATATATGGATTTTAGCGATCATACACAAGAACACGAAATCAAATATATAATTGATTAAACCTTTGGACAGTAATTATATAGGACACATATAAATGCATCCTCTGCCCCAATATAATAAGAAAAATTCAACGCGTTTAGGAATGGATAAAGTTCCCCAGACTAAAATGACATTTGGGAAAGATGGGGAAAGATAATTATAAACAAATCATATGATCTTGAAATGTTGCTTTCATTTTCTTGGAGGAAATGATATCATCACTTTAAGACATCCCAAAAACAAAGGGTTAGAATTAATCTGGGAGAATCCAACACACTTAGGAATGGACAAAGTTCCCCGGACTAAAAGGACAAAAGATGGAGAAAAGAAATATAAACAAATCATTCAATCTTGAACTTTCATTTTCTTAAGCCTTGGTCACATCAATTGCCGAAGTCCTGCCAAATTTTATGTAGGGTGCGCTTGATACACATAAGGGACTGGACGGGACTGGCAAGAGCGAGGTAGGCGTGTGAAAGAATTGTGCTACTGCAAGGTTTTAAGGTTTTAATTTGACATGGTCACATGGGCATTTTAGTAATTTGTTAATCTTGTCTCATCTCCCTGATTTCCATTCCCCTTGATTTGATGGGATAAAAATGCACCAAACATGGACAACAGGTTTTTCTTCTTGGAAGAAATTATATCATCACTTTAAGACATCCCAAAAACAAAGAGTAAGAATCAATCTAAGAGAAGGTGGTAGAAGAATTCTTTTAAAAGTTAGAAAGAGAAAGCCGGTAGATAAAAACCACGTGAAATTAAGTGACCACCAAAAAACAAAGCAAAATGGTTCGCAGTTGGTTTATGAAATATATGTAAGCACTAATCAGTTACAATGGATTGATTGTGGTCAGTCATAAAGATAAGGGACTCAAATGAACAAAAATAGCCAGCATAGAACATAAAAATCTACCTTTCTTTAATGGCTCCTTTGGTTCCTCAGAAGACTCCACCTCCTCCTGCTTTGAAGATTCAGAGGAACTCTCCCCAACAACAGCAACCTTCTGTCATAAATGGAGGATAAAACACTTCATAAATATTCCTCTTAACCAGCTTTCAGATCCCATTCACATAACCCATTATGTAACATAAATAATTAAACTAAATGTAACTTCAAATAAGGTAATTCACATTGTTGAGGACACATGACCAAGATATTTATAAAGTTTCTAAGTGAACCCATTATTTGAAAACTAAAACATAACTACAACGATGCCTGTTTGCCTGTTTTGCAAAATAATTGTCGGAAAATTAAGAACCTCAAAAAATTGAGTGAACTTTTTATTCTCCTTGTTATAAAACCTACATTCTAACTTCGAAGTTGCTATTTGATGCCGACTAACCTCCTTGCAGTGGTCTTCTCTTCAAAAGAAATTAAAAGGTTGAATTCACGAATATATATATATATATATATATATATATATATATAAGTTGCACTATATATTTCCTAATTGCCAAAAGGCGAACCTTGACAAGCCAATCGGGTTGCTACATCAATAACAATCATATTCAGATCTTACCTTTGCAAACTCTTCAATGCCCCCAGGAACAAGCTTCTTCAGGGCTTCCTCTGCCCGAGCCTCAATGTCCTCATCATCTGATCTCGACTCACCACTGCTAGTCCACTCTTCCTCATTACTTGCCTCATCCTCAACTTCTGATTCTGAAGTAACCTCTTCACCTTCATCATCTGATTCATTTTCGGAGTTATCTTCACCAAAATCCTGCAACGAATAGCGAGAACTTTGAGAACCATGAGAAAAAAGAATGATTGGCGGATTCCTTGAACAGCTAATGACTGCCTTAAGATACACTTACATAAGGAGCTAGAACACTACTGTCAAGAATCAACAAGGGAACTTGTAAATCCCGTGCAAGTGCTCTAATGAATCTTTCTCGATAAAGCTCAGTGCCTGCATCATCAGAATCATCAACCATTCACACGTTCAGCAACTACAACCGGGGGTCGTTCTGAAAATAAAAAAATTAACGAAACGAAAATTCAATAGCCTAAACCTGGTACGCTCTGAAGCAGTATTTTCCCGCTTGACGAATCTAGCCGTGAACCATATGTGGTAGTAAACTTCTTGTGTTTTAGATGAGAAGCAGCGCATTCCACTAAAAGGTTCTTGGAATGTTCACTGTGATTGGATAAGTTAGCATCAAACAAGCAAAAAATTTGACAGCCAAATAACATACAACATTAACAAAAAAAGCTTGGTGCTTACTGTATGTAGTAAGGAAATGTATCCCATGAGACCGTTTGTTTCTCCCATGGAATAACCCTTCGTAAGAACTCGTTTTTGAATCTTTGCCGTTTAGTTAGAAAAGGTGATTCTTTCCTTTTACTTTCAATAGCCAACTTCTCATTAACAAGCCATTCCTTTTGATCTTGCTCTCCAAGACGAGCATGTGCATCATGGTGATCCACATGCTCCTTGATATTTTCTTTACCGATGCTACCCTTCTCAGACTTGGATACGTCTTTCAGAGGCGCATGTTTATCTTCGCTTGCATTTCTTCCATCACCCTCTGAGCTATAAAATCGAAAAGAACCACTAGAATTTGCATATGATCCTGCAAGCAACCTTGGAGCAGCAGAACCAGAAAAGGTTGAAGAATTTGACAGATATCTTCTAATAAAACCGCTCCCGGAAAACCGGTTTGTTTCAACAGTGCAACGGCTTATGGATCGATAACCGGTTTTCTGGCCATGATTTAAACCAATTAAGTACTTGTATGGTTGAAACACGAGATCCCATCTTTTATTCTTATACTTCAGTCTCACTGAATTCATTGGAGCCTCTCACACGTTGTATAGATTAAAAAGATGGCAATGGGTGCCCCCAATACGCTTATTAACTTAGATCCCGCTACCTGAGTAATAGAAAAACAAGGAGCACAATAGAAACAAAAATATATATAAGTTAACCTTGTATACATATTATACATAGATTAAATGATGGGTTTCCATCTTGTTTATGTCATGTAACTTGCTGAAAACAAAGTGATGTTAGGGGCCTTTTGGTTGGTTTTCCGTTAATACCTGTATGGAAGAGTTGTCTGTGTGGGAAGGTTTTGTTTGGGAGGCTTTTTTCATAGATGAAAGGAAAGTGTTTTTTTAATTGGGAGGGGAAGGTTTAGAAAAAACTTGGCTTTCTGCATAAAGCTTCCCCCTAGAAGCTTACTGAAAAAGCCATTTCTATATCATTAAGCCACTTTCTATATCATTAAGCCACTACCAAACAAGCCACTTTCTATATCATCAAGCCACTAGCAACAGTCATGTATGGCTGACCGGATAAGTTGCAAGTCCCATAACCCATTAAGCTCATTAAGCTGCTAACAAATAGGCCCTTACTGTCAAAAGACCGAAATTAAGAAAACGAAAGCACTACATACAGCCTAATACTGGAACCAGGAAGCAGTTCAAATATTTTAACTATCAACTGAAATCCGGTCACAATTGTCATTCCTTGTTAATTGTGCTTTAACCTCAGGGTTCAGGACCTGCAAACAAATAAAATAACACGACCGAACTAACTGCCACAGGCTACCTATCTGAATTATGGACTGAGCCCATCCCTTAAAAAACTTAGAATTACCTAAAAGATACTCCTTTTCCGGTTTTCCCGAACCAGTCTGATTGTTCTTCTATTTACCTGTCACTTGAGCCAGATAGCTGGAACCCAAGACTACATTAGCTCTTAACGAATGCCTCCCAACCCACAACCTACATAATGGAAATTTACATATATTAATCCTAGAATCAAACCCGAATTGACTCGTAGGTATTCCTTTTCTATTCAGAATCTAAAAGTTCTCAGTCTTTCACCTCTATAAAATTGTAAAGTCTAGTTGTTCCACAATTCAATGAATCACCCTACATTGGAAGTGGTAGTTAAAGCACATAAACAAAATATAAACTTACCATTTCTTCATTTCAATATAAATGACATCCATCCAAACCAAACCCTATAACTATCTCTCTGCCTATCTAGATGTCAAATGAGCTCATCTCTTAACTTCATATCCTAATAGGAATTGGTTTTATTGCAGATTATGAATTGGTTCTTCCATTAAAGCATAATAATACATCACCCAACTAGAAAAGCAAAAACACCCATGTCATGTTTTGAATTATACGATGTCTGAAAGTAACAAAAACCAAAAGTTGAATCTTTCTTGGGATGGAGGGAAGCTTTAATTAACATGACATTGACATCCTAAAAGAAAAAAAGGGGGAAATAGCGAAAACATGAAATTTGAATGATGAACAAGTCTAGCAATTTCAGATAACAATCCAAGAAGAATCAGACCTTTTAATTCATTTATCTCTGCTGCGAAAGAAGTAAGATAATCTGAACTCAATCAAGAAACCGCCTTGGGTTTGAAACAGACGAAGAGGGATAGATAGAGGGATGAAGGACCGCTTATCAAGGGTTAAAAGGGATCTGGGTGCCTTCGATATCGGTAGGAAAAAGCGCTGAAAATTGATTGCGTTTATTGGTTTAACCTAAGGAGACATTGGTTTGGTTCTCCGCTGTTCCAAACAGCAAATGTGTGGAGGCTCAGGTCTTGGATGGCGGGTGACACTACGGGGTTCCTTGAATGAGGTATACAAGTACATTGAAAAAACCAATATTGTTGTGGTGTCCACCAATTGATTGTTTTTCTCTAATCTTAAACTCTATATTTACGGTCAAGGGTACTTGTATAATGCAGCTAGATACATTTTAATTTTAATATTTCGTTTTATTCTTCATTTTGGTTGATGTATAATATGGTCTTATGTGATTTTGAAAAAGCGATACTATTTTTATTTTTTAATAAAAATATAATTTTGAAGATATCATAAGAATTTGACATAAATATATCAATATTAGTATCAAATTAATTATTTAAAAAATTTCATTTTTTGTGTAATTTTTAATTCAGCTTTTTATTATAATTTAATTTATGTTCAATAACGAAGTAATTTATATTTGTTTAATAATATAATTTTGTATAAAGATAATAATTTATTATTTTGTAATAACTCAATAATTATTCTAATTGTATTTTATATTTTTTATATTTTAAAATGAGATGTTTATCTTCTATTTGATTATGTTTATCCGCAGTATGTTACACGAATTCAAATATGAAGCTTTACTAAATTGTACTTACGCACAATCTACTTGTAATCTTGAATTTTAAGTAATATGTATCAATAAACAGTGTTTCATGCATAAAAAATGGTTTTAAGAGTTTTTTGTCAAATGAATTATAATATAATATAGATATGAAAATGAATAATAATCTTTGGAATCACATAATGGCGTAATACATGATTTTTGTAACGTGATATTTGATTTTCTTTTTACGTTTTTTAAATGTTTCTTATTTGTTAGTTCTTTGTATATGACATAATGCAAATTATTTATTATCATTAATTTAATGAATAATGGTATCAACCATTTGTCTTATATATGGTATAGAGATTTTCCGTCATAAGTCACACCTTGAAAAACGTCATGATCTCGCCGTAACTCCTAAGACTTGCTTGACTTCACCACCACGTCACGTCTCACACCATTTAGAACATTGATTTAAATTGAGTAATTGTTTGTATCTCATAAACCAAGAAAAACGACTTTTATGCTCCATCGGTATGAAACAAGCGCCTCATAAACTGTTTTGATTTTATTCGTTTTCTATGATTACATTATGGAATTACTCCCTTTATTTTGGTGAAAATCAAGGATTAAGAACAGCTCTAATGGTTAATACTAAAGAGTTGCATTATGACGTGATCAGTTTTAAGTAGTTGTTGTTGATGTTGGAATGGGCATCAGATTAGCAGGTGTATAATTGTTAACCGTATTCTATGAATATAATATCTAACTGCTTATGTATACTTCATTCGGTAGGTTTAAATGTCTGTTTTCTTTTTATGTTGTTAGATTTTGGTTTAAAACAAAAAGGGTGGCGTCCGATTGGTTTGAGTCTGAGCTCCATATGTTAAAAAGTGTCTACATGTCTCAGGTTCAAATCCAAGAAGGAATAAAAGTCATTTTGTGGCCACGAAGGTTCAAGTGCGATGACTTCTGGCAACCTGCAAAACAGGTGGTCGTCTTGAGATTAGTCGGTTCGCATAGTGGATTGGATATTCAAGTTAATAAAAAAATGGTTTAAATGAATAGTGTTGCAACAAGATAAGAACTATACCTAGTTTCAAAACATATAAAAGAGTTAGTTCATGCGTTATTTATGATTAACACTTATAATTACTCATAAATATTATTCATGCTAAATAATCCTAAATATTATACATTATTAACTATCACACGTCTTTAATATTCATTATATTATGTATTTTCAGTATTAATAATTTTTATGATGAATATTATTCGTCCCTAGATGATATGATAATAAACATAAAGTAATTGTAGAAGGAGAGTGAATACAATTACACGTATTTTTTTCAACTTTTGATTCTTATTAATCTATATCGAAAATTAATATGCAAAAATACAGATTGTTGCTGAATAAGGAAAGATAAACCTAACACAAACAAGATCACACACATAATACATTGCAAAAACAACACATAGAGTACTTGTAAGGAAACGAAGAACAATTAGATTTATTCACACACAATAAACCATGAGAGTAGAAAAGGAGAGTTGATCGGCTTGAGTATGTCACTGGAAAATTCTATTAGTGAAGCGTTGTCGCATGGGAGATGCATTATGCCTTTCTATACCACCCGTCCATTTAATGCATGGGGATATTCGTCACGTTGGGATAAGATGACATACGTTGACCTGACCACTACTGATATGTCATTAACACATACACTAATTGTATGTAGAGACGACTATTTAACAAGGAATGTCCCTATTAGGTACAGGGGATAAAAAAGATATGGTCAATTTGTAGGCAAATCTTCATTTTATCGGCTAGTTGTTTCAAATTATCTTCAAATCAACTACTTGTAGTCTTGGTGTATATTTCAGATAGTTGATCCACAAACCGCATCGGTGATCTTCTATCTTCATTTTGGCTAGTTTTTGATTTTGTAAATGGCTTTTAGTTTGTACCAATAAACCAATAACTACAAAGTAATTGGATTTCAAATTGTAATTGGATCGGATCGAATCGAATTGAAAATTTCAACAGCCGGTTTGGATCGGTCGGTTCTCGGATGACAATCTAGAACAGACAAAAAACGAACCGATCAACATTCAATTAATCATCCGATAACCATCCAGTTGTCCATCAAACCATTACCCAACTATCATTCAATTAATTTATTTTCAAATTGCTTAAATCGGAATATGTTTTACGTGAGACTTTGAATTTTTAATTTATCTTGTGTTGATTTTAACACATATTAAAATAGATTAATTAATTTGTATGATTGTTAGAGAATTGGATTGAATTAACACACTGGATGAATTCAATTTTATCGGGTCATCCATTAGATATCCAATAAAATTATCCAATGGATGGAACCTAACCGATCAAATCATCAATTAGATTGGATTTGGTCTGTTATTCAATGTTAATCGGATCAACTCGGTTGACAAAGTCCAACATCCAATTGATGATTGGATCGGTTCAGTTTCCCTTACATCAAATGAATATCAACCAATGAACAAGTCTAATATTTATTAACAAACAATATGAAGTGAAAATTTTGAATAACTTTTACCAAATACTTTATAATCTATATTATATTATAAAACATTTGACAAAAACTCTTAAAAACCATTTTTATGCATGAAACACTGTTTATTGATATATACTACTTAAAATTCAAGATTACAAGTAAATTATGCGTAAGTACAACTTATTAAAGTTTAATGTTTGAATTTGTGTAACTAACTTCAGATAAATATAACCAAATAGAGGATAAACATTTCATTTTAAATATAAAAAAACTAAAATATAATCAAGATAATCATTGAATTATAACAAAATATTTAATTACTATTATTATAAAAACTTATATCATTAAACTAAAAATAAAAAAATGGATTAAAGAAATACACAAAAAAAAAAGAAATTTTAAATAATTAGTTTGATACTAATATCAATATTTTTATTTTTTATGATTTCTTTATATTTATATTTTATTTAAAAATAAAAAAATTAATTTTTTTTTTCTAAAACCACATAAAATCGTATTATAGCATCGACTAAAACAACAAAAAATGAAATACTAAAATCTAGATATATCTCACTGTACATCGATTGAAATTGATATATTAGTCATCTATTAACTATAGATTTCATCCATACCCTTTCGAAATTACAATAACGTCCATGTGCTTATTCCATTAACAAGTCCATGTGCTTATTCCATTAACAAGCCCATGCGATAAAGGTCAATTTAGTCAAATAAAAAAATTGTTGGTTACAGGTGTTTGAAGGGCTTAAATCAGTTAAAAGAACTCGTAAATCCCCCCTCCCCCCCTCCCCTTCGCTTCCCTTCAGTCTTTCTCCTTGGCGGAGCAAAGATGAAAACATTCTCTCTGTCATATTGCATATGTGTTGTGCGTGTTTCTCATTCTCTCTGGTACCGACAGTGTCATCTTCATCTTCTAGGGTTTTTGTTATTCAATTTCATCTGCTATATGGCGTTCTTTATCTTCATTGATTGTATTTTAGGGTTTCATTGATTAATCGGTCGGCTTGTTAAGTTCTTACGATCATTCGTTATTGACTTGTAATTGCTAGTTCTACTAGAAAAACTGAGATGGTTTGAAATTCCCCTGTGTTTCGTAAAAGATTTGTGGAATGGATAACTCAAATTGTTCTATAAATAGGCATAACGAGCATTTTGTAATTGGGGCCAAATATTTGATTTTCGTAAAATATGGAAGGTGATACAAATATTGCAACTAATTTCAGGATCAATATTTAAATAAAAATTAGCATTATTGAAATCAACTTTGAATTGATCCTCTGTTAAATGCCAAATGGTTGATCATGTGATATTTAGAGAGGCATACACCATGATATATGAGGTCATGAACCTCTAGATACCAAATAGGTTAACTAGAGAGACGAGTTTGAATTTCCTTAAAGAAGGGAGTTTGGAAACCTTGGATAAATCGAAGGCGAGAATATTGTGTTACTCATTGCTCAAGTACACTGCTGCGGTATTCTCCTAAGGCCCAAATAGGGAAGATGTTTCTGTATGCTGCATATGTAATCATGCAGGTCCTGTTAAACGAACCTATGATCTCCTGCAACAATATGAATGCATTCATTTTAGTTTCTCAAGATTGTTTAAGAACAAAATTAAAGCCAAAGTTCATTGCATCATCACCACCAAGCTAAAACATGAGGAATCACTTATTTGATCTATTGAAGCATCTTAAATGGAATTCATAAACATTCATAGGATCATATGACTAATTGATGGAGCGTGGGAAAGATTTGGTGTTGCTGAACAAGTCTTGATGATCTTGGGGAAAGAAATGGAAGTGTGAAACTAATATCATAAGGTAAGCAATCCTATATCTTATAAGCACGGAGATAAGATGTTAAATTTTGTCAACAGAATTCCCACTTATGTAATGGCTAGATCTTTGAGTTCACTGGAAAGTCTGGGATTGAAACTTCAATTTGACTAGTACACCAACATTCCACTTTAAATGTGCAAGTACATGTAGACATATCTTTTTTTATGTGTGTCAATTTTATCAATATACAAATCAATGTTGAATATAATTTATTGTAGTTTCTAAAATAGCTTCAAGGCTACCGGTTACATGGCTTACCTGTTGTGGGAAATCTCCATTCTCCATTTGAGAGTTAATCAATACTTGTGCTGCTAGGTGCAACGGTGTTGCGTCTCTATTGGCCTGAAAGATAAGCTTGTTAACTAATGAATAATGGTTGGGAAGTAAGATTAATGAAGACCTACAAACATATGCAAGCCTTATAAGATAGGAAAAGTTTTCCCAACACCCGAACATCAATACCTCACCTCTGCTAATAGCACACCAGAGTTTGAGGGGTTGTTTTGTTCATGTTAGGTTTTGACAATGGAAATGTTGAGGACTTAGGAATGGAAATCGGAACGAGTTTCATTTCCCCTTAGTTTTTTTAGGAATGTTGCGTTCCCCAGTATATATCAAAACACACACAATTGATGTTTTCGTTTCCATTCCCTACCACTTTTACCTCTAACTAAGCACCGCTCGAATACTTATCTGCTTTAATGAAGGTATATGAGTACCTGCTCAGCATGAATGAGAGCAAGCAGAGCCCAAGAAGTATTCACAATATGAGAGCGACCTCCTTCAAGATTGGTATACACCTGTATGGAAACGAGTAATAGATTGCCATAAGGGTTTAGGCTAGATAAATGAGGCACATGTCATCGTACTTGTAGTTCAGTTGAACCTCACCTTGTCCTGACATGAGAGGTAACTCTCTCCCCAGCCACCAGAAGCAAGTTGTTTACGCAATAAAAAGTTACAAGCCTTACGAACGCTAACGCAATTAGAGAAGTTTCTTCCAGCAGCTACTAGTCCTTCAATTCCAAACCATGTGGCATAGGTGAAACAAACTCCCCATGAACCATACCTAATGAAATTAGATTATACACATGTAACCGGATAAAGAATCACAATTCATTGGCACAAGAAAGAATGACGAGCATATTTGGAAAACACATAAGTAGGATCAATTTGCATATGAACAACAAGAAGATGAATGACAAACCATGAACCGTCTGATGCTTGCTCTTTTTCAATGAATGCAACAGCTTTGTCAATACTTCGTTGTACTTCTTCTCTCCTATAATCAGGGTATGATTTCTTGAATGTTGTCAGAGCTTGGATTGCATCTGAGGTACATTCTAAACATCTGAAGACAGTAATGGGTTTGTAAATAGCAAAAATGATTAGAATTTCAAAAAGAAAAATAGAATACAGGTGTTGATTCTTACGGGTAGTCTATAACGACGTTACCAAATGTTTCAACAGGATTAATCCACTGAAAGTAGGTTTGCATGAGAAATAAGAAATGAGAGTGAATGAAATAGAGAGAAGCTGTAATGATACTGAAAATCTACTGTAAAACAAAATAAAGCATGAGTTAACTCCATGCTAACTGGATTTCTGTCATTTTTGATGTAGTACCTCCAACCATTTGTAGGATCTTGTAAGTTCATATGTAGCAAAACTACCATTGGCATTCTGCACACATATAAAGGGTAGCTTCTTGTTAGTTTTGTTTAATTATAATTTTGGTACTAAACTCGTTTCATGAAGTATATATATATATATATATGACCGAAGAGTAAAATTGGCAAAGTTTGGGGCAAGATGTCAGAGCATATGAGATAGCACACACAAAGACAACTCTCTGAAGCAGTTTATTGGTAAGCATTAGTCTTCGTGATTATCTAATCGATTAAAATTTATAATTTGTTTAGGAGACTTGATTTTTGTCTCTAATTGCATTATTATTGATGGGTCTTATACTTCTTTAGTTATTGTACTAATATGTATATTGTATTATTTATTATAAAGGCAGTTCTTTATTACTTACTAGGCAACCTTAAGACAACAGTGGGTTATTTTTTGGGAATCAATGGAAAACAATTGCTAGTTGCAACATTCTAATTACCTGTAAAGATAGTATAACGTTAACGGCATCATACAACCGCATTATATCTAATGGTTCACCAACAGCTTCAGATGGCAATTTTCTTAGCATGAGTGCAGCCTGATGAAGGAAATTATTAACACTGACATAATAAACCAAACCAAACAAACCCAGTATGTCATAACCAAGGTGGGAAGACCTAAACACCCTGGTCTAACCTAGGACTCGAGATATCTAACTCAGACAGTGCTAACCATCGACATAAGTAGACCACTTATATATGTTAAATACTCACCTTTAACCCTTCAGCAGTGCAATCTGACACGATCCATCCATTATCTGCAGTTGAGAACGGCCAACCACCTTTTGAAATGTGACGATACCAATACTTAGGATCACCAGGGCAATTCTTTAAGATCTTTAGAGCAATAAGAAACAATTACCATGACTTAAACTTTGAAGTTACAGTGGCTAATTTCAAAGTCTTGTTAACTGTGTGTTTCACCTGTGACCTTTTTAGGAAAACATGTGCCTTTCTTAGCGTTGGACTAAATTCTTCAACGAGATTTGTAGAAACAATTGCTTGAATGGCGAAAGCAGTGTCCCATAATTGACTACCATTATAACCCTGAATGATGTGATTTAACTGATTATGTATATAAGAAATTCCATACAATGTATAACAAACAACATCTTATGTTTTATGTACACCTTCATCTTCATGCCATCTTCAGCAAGCCATAGATGATCATGTATTCTCGGGAGATGAAACTTGAAAGCCTCTGAATTTGGATCTTCTACCCAACAACAGAGCATATTTATCACCTGAGAGATAGAAGTTAGGCTAGATGGGAATGTAGAAATCTGACCCGGAGATAGGGTCAGGGAGGCGTAGGATGCATGCTGACCTTACCTTTATCTCAAATGACACAGACTGTTTCGTAGAAACCCCCGACTTGTGAAAGTTTAACATCCTCAATTTACTTAATTTGAAAAGGTGATTCACAATGTTGATAGGGACATGGAACTATGGAAGTTTGCTTACTTTGTTTATTGAACTTAGGCATACATATCGAGTATTCAAGTCTTCATAATGAATATGCTCCATGACATGGCGAAGCGCCTTCTCTCGCAACTTCTTCCCGGGCCATCTCATAAGAACTGGTTCCACCATCTTGTCAATAGTTGCCCACAGAATGTCTTGAATAAGAGGGTGTGGATAAAAAAGCTCTTCCTGCAAAAAAGTAAACACTATCATATTGGTAATGTTAACGTCTTAATGTTTGAAGTGAAATGAAGGCCATAGTGAACTGGTTCCAGTTGATTTTTTTTTTTTTTGGTTTTTTCTTGAATGTAAATGATATTTTTTCAAAGTATACAAATATAATGTCTTTATTATCCATGAAAACACACACGATAGTAACCGTATCAATGGTAATTGTGCGAACACAAATATATACATACTGACATTCACGTGTATACATATGTGTGTATATGCATACAGGGTCGGGTTCCAGAGAGAATAGAAATTAATCAAATTATGGTGAGAAAAGTAAGAAGAGATCTTCATCATTGGATCAATCCTAATTGAAGAGAAATACTAGATCAATTCCCTTATAAAACGTAATTCATGAATTGGTTTGAAACTAAAAGTGATCAAGGATCCAAATCTCTTCTTACACTTCTCACCTTAACTTTTTTTCTCACACGATCCATCGTCTATGCATACATGGGAACACATATTGAACGTTAAAAATGATAGAAAATAGATTAAAAGACACTCAGAAATTGAGTGTAAACTAACCTTTGCACATAGATTTCGTGCTTTATTCCAATCTATTTCATGATAAGGGATGGTATACAACTCGTTTCTCAAAGCCAAAACCGTAGGCGTGATAGGACCAATGAACCTCTTACCATATAAGTACGACATACCCAAAAATGGCATTCGAGCATGACACCATGTCCGACCTGCAACTTTTCCATTGTTATGGACATTCACACATATAGAGAGATCCCGAGGAACCAAAACAGGCTCACCTGGATGCACCGGAAGAACATATGGAACCAACCAGAGTTCAGGCGGCAACGGGTTGTTTCCTGACCACTCGTATACCCCGAGTACCTATAATCATCAAGGATACAAAATTATTAAACAAAATAAAACTAAACACACTTGGTATGCCCCATTTCGAAGTAGGGTATGAGGTGGGATGCACCTAGGGGTGGATCTACATGCATTCATATGGTATTACGTGCAGCCATATATTTGGTTATTTGTGACCATAAATGTTGAAAGGATAAGGGTATGTGTGTAAAATTTAAAATTTAAAAAGATATTTATCTGGTGCAGCCACTTCAAAAATTTTCTGGATTTGCCTCTGCAGACTTTTACCCATTACCACAAATTTGGGTTTATAGGATGTCAAAAATGTCTAAGTGTCTATATAAACTTTAATTTATAGGACCAAACAAGAAAAGTGTCATTTAAATGTGTTGTAATAAGTTTATTGCATGTTTTTTTGGGTGTCATAACAAGTTTTTTTGTAAGGATAGTTTTATATAAAACAACAAATGTCATATAAAAAAGTGTAAATATAATAGTTCTTAAAAGTGTCCTATAAAACTTGTTACGGTGTTTAAAAGTGTTATATATAAACTGATTACAACACATTTACATAAGACGTTTTATTGTTTGGCCATATAAAACTGAAGTCTTATAAAGTGGTCTATTTGGACATTTCGAAGTGTCTTGTAAACCGAATTTTGTCTAGCGGTACCCCACCCAGTCCCCAATGAGTGGAATGGTTGTTCTATGAAAACTGCCGACTTTAAGTAAGGTGAAAACGAGTAGGCAAGAGTTACGACAAGTTCCCTACTGAAAGCCAAATCTTTCCCCAAGACGTGATCATAGTAGCCCCGCCTTGGTCCAAAATCCACGTTCGTGCCTTTTGCATTGCTGCTTCGCCATCTTCAGCTCCTCCTCCAAGCAATCTCAATGTCACATAGTTTAGGACGCTACCGAACATGGTGCTATGACCTTCGATATGCAGACCCCATCCACCATCTTTATTCTGCAGTGATGGCATGTTTTAAATCTCGAAGACATGGGCATACCTCATAAAAAGAAGATTAATCTACACATGCCTGGTGATTGTAGATATGACGAAGGATCTCGATTTTATGGTTGTTCGATAAGACTGCATCTAATGCCCCGGTAACGGATAAGGTAATAACCTATATGCAACACGTTAGTCGTTAAATATACGGGAAGTGGGTCCCGTACGAGATCAAACTGTGAATCCAACTACATCAAACAGCCTGAACCCAATTACACCAAGCAACACAATAGGGTGGAAAACAACTCGAGTTATAATGTAAATTTCTTTTTGAAGATTTTCGACTTTGGTTTTCCTATGTCGGAATTTCATAGAGAAACTCTTGGAGATGCTCTCGTGGAGTAGACATCGTGCATTAAGGGTTCGTTTGGTTTGCAATAATGAAGTGGATTTGGGAGGGTTTGGATTTCAAATTCATTTCAATCTCGTGTTTAGTTTGCAGGATTGTCCGAATTTGAAATCCTTTGTTTGGTGGATTGGAAATCGTTAGGGAAGAGTTTGTATTTCAAATCCTGCTCTGGTCGGATTTCATAAAAAATACATTGCTTCTTTAACGTGCGTACACGTGGAGATCTCTAATACTACTAAAAAAATGAATTTTCCGGCGGATCACTGGCGGACATGGAAAAAGTCAACTTTCGTTGACGTCCGCACAAAACCGCCACAAATTATTTAAAAGAAAAACGTATTTTTTATAAACAAACAAATAATTACAAAAATGAAAATTTAAAACCCAATCCAAATCCTACAAACCAAACATAACATTCCAAATCCTACAAACCAAACACATGAAGAATTCCAAATTTATCTCAATCCAGATCTCTTCATAAAATTTGAATCCCTCAAAAAGAATCATGCAAATCAAACAGATCCTAAAGGATTATAATTTACCAAACCAGGCAATAGAATCATAGGACCTCCGTAATCGCCTGGCCAGTGTCCATCGTCTGCCTGCAGACTCGAATAGAAACATACGGCTTTCCTTAATATGTTCGCTACTTTAGCCTCCGTAATATCTTCTACATCTGTTATCTCGACTTCTGGTACGATAACAGGATGTGGATTCTCCTTTGCAAACTACATGGGTACAAGAGAAAGTCTCGATTAGACTCATTCCATTCAATATAGAACCGACATGCAATTTAAAACAAACCTGAATGCGCATGAGCATATCCGAGCTTTGCTTTTGTTCGAACCGATTCTCTGAAAAGATTTGTCGGGCCTTTTCAACTTCAGCAATTTCGTCGAAGGAACCTAGCTCGGGATCAAACTCCCAAACTTGACGTCCAACGTGATCGTTGATAGAATGGAGCCATGGACTTCCTCCCTCCGCAACCTTTAGTTTCCACATTTTTGACCTTCTTCGAGACACAAACACGAATGCCAAATCAATCAAAAGTTGATTTTTTTTACTTCCGGACTTCAAAACACATTCGTACGAATACGATAGAAATTCAAATTCGAGTGCAAAATCCAAAAGCCAAAAGCATGACGATCAATAAAAAGGTCACACCTTAGACGAAACCATCGAAAAAATGCCTAATTTGTTGAAACATGTGTTTTGTGTTTTCTTTATGTCGTTTACGTCTTTTAACTTGGAAGAGTAAAAATGCGAACAAACTCTTCGAAAGCAAAATTTGAACACGTATTTTTAAAAGAAGATCGAAACGTTGTTCCTAGTTAACACTCTGAAGAAACTAAGGTCTCGTTTATATATGATAATTTCAATAATAATAATATATAATATTTAACAACAATAATAATTTTATTTCAAACGAGGGGTAATTTTGTCATTCCAATTTATTATTACTTGTGGTGTCGCGGTATAAAAGCGTATTTGAAAAATTAGTTGACGATGTACCAACTAATGGACGAAATGAAATATACATTCGGTGGTTTTTGTGAACGTTAAATATCATGTTGAATGATTTTGTATTTCTAAAAAATTTGGAATCGGAGGAAATAATTTGTAACAATTAAAAGAAAGTTATAAACATATGGCCATCAATTACAAATAAATGATCATATGAGAATAAAAGTTAAAGTGAGAAGCGTAAGAAGGGATCTGAACACTTAACTGATCGTTTTTGACCTTGGCATACCTTAAAGAAAACCGTAAAACACCTTCATGTGAGCGCATTTTAGTCATTTTGCATTCTATACATTAATTATTGGCAGAAACATAAAATAGATATGCATAAACATTAAAATAACAAACTAAATAACTCTACTTCATCGTTCTTGAATCCTTTCTTCTTCGTCCCTCACCTTCATCGCAACCCTTTCACTTTTCAAAAAAAAAAAAAAAAACCCACCCAGAACCGTTGTTTGTAGACTGTAGAACGAATAAATGAGAAAATGAATGAAGATAGATAATACCGCTCAAAATATACATATACGTGCACACATTATTTTTATGTAGCTCATTGAATTATACGCTAATCGTGCACAACCAACTGCGTTGTGTAATGCTGATACACGATGCTGCAAAATAAATTATTAAGAAGCGGTATAGTACTCATTTAGCCTCTTCAATTACCTGACATTCACAGGAGAACGGGGATATAAGTGTTGAGCTCGTCATTGTGTCAATTTTGGAGCTAAAAATCATAATAAAGTTTTTATAGATTGATGTTCGTGGGTTTGGTTTCTTGAAGCTGGTTTCTTCACTTGGTGACAAAATCCAACAAAAGAAAACCCATAATTTCATTGAAGTAATCAAGCATCACCGTTGCTGTTTCTCAAAGTTAGCTTCAGTGGAGAAGAAGATCGAAAAAGGTGGTTGTCGACAAGGACACGTTTCAGTAGGGAAAGACATGGTATCGGGTTGGGGGGTTTATCAGGTTTTCTTTTGTTTTTGTTTCTTTAAATTGCATTGAAACTTCCACACAAACTTTAAAACATTTGCACATTACTTTTTTTTTTACAAATTAATGTAAAATGACCAAAATGTCCCTCATTCGACTAGCAGGTGAGGGCATTTAATGGAGGATATTAACAGGTGTCAAGGTTAAAGGATAATTGGTAAAAGAAAATTCAAAGGTTGGGGGGGCTATGGTGTAATGTCTAAACAATAGTGGTTCTTGTTAGAGTTTGACTATAGTAGAGGGACTATATATGTAATTTACTCATAAACTTTTGCCGTCACGTCGCACAAACGGACGGGGCCGCACGTTAAATAAAAGGAAAACCTAAAACTAACGTCGTTAGAGACACCATAAATATCTACACACGGACCTCACGCTCACTATATATTCACCGAGGTTTCGCATCTCCCATCCTACTCCTCTAAAACCCTAATATTTTCTCTTCTAGGGTTTTTGTAGTTGCTCTTACTGCAGCAGCTACTTAAAGTCCGGCCTCCTCCTTTCCCTTCACCAAGAACCCTAATTTGATTTATTTTTCTCTTCGATTCTTCTCATGGGGAAATCAGCCAAGAAGTCTGCCTCCAAGGTACCGTTTTCTCCGATTTTTCAGTTTGGTGTCCTGTGTATGTATTTATTTGTGTGTATAATGATGAATTTGTTTTGATGTCGTTATAGGTTGAGTCCGCTCCTGCTGTTGTCGCCCAGCCGACGAAATCAATGAAAAAAGGTAGCTTCTTCTATCTTCTTTCTTTCAATGTTGTTTGCTTCCTAGTTCTAATTTGTTCATCGTTTATCTATGAATTACGGGTTTTAATAAATGGGTATATATGCTTTCGGGTTGATTTCTTGTTTGATTTCGTTAGTTTTTGGTTTTATGAGTTATGTGATGTAGGCAATAGGGTACAAAGCCATCGATTGTAGTTGGTTCTTGATTATCTCAATTAATCATTCCTTTAGTTTCTTTGATTTTGTTAGATTTTAAGGAGTTTTCTGATTCGTGTGTGTTAATTTCATTTGGTCGTACTATTGTTACTTCCTTTCCAAGGGAGTCTATGTTTGGGTTGTGAATGTCAACATGGTTTATTTCTGAGTGTTTAAATTGTATAAGGGTATTGGTAGTTGTAAAAAGGTGTGTGGTAGAAATGTTTTCAAAGCGTAATGAGTTTTAATTCTACTAGAAGAGCTTTCAAATTTAAACCGATTGTGAGATGTTGCCTGTCGATGGCTGTTCTTTTGTGTTTTAATCAAGTATTTCACTTGATGTAGGCAAGAGAGACGCAGAGGAGATTATTGAGAAGAAGGTAGTGAGTAGTAAGAAGCAGAAGATAGTCAATGGTGGTGTAGCCCAGGCTGTTGAGAAAAAGAAGGTCGAGACAAAGACCCAGAAGAAGAACGCCAAGAAAGAGGAAAGCAGTTCCTCTGAAGAAAGCAGCTCAGAGTCTGAGGAAGAGCAGAAGAAGGTATAATCTTTATTATACTTGCAACTTTGTGTTTGGTTTAGCATCTGTATATATATTTCATTATTATTCAAGTGTATTTGATCTTGTTTGCTTGATATTTTTAATATGTACTGATGCTCATAATGTTAAAATACAAGGTTGTTGCATCAAAGAAAGCAGCCCCTGTGGTTAAAAAGCCTGTCAAGGAGTCTAGCAGCGATGAGTCTGACTCTTCCTCTGATGAAGTAAGTGATGGTCATAGTTATTTTTGTTAAGCCGCTGCTTTCTATTATATGGCTCTCATATTGTGGTGTAGTTGTAATAACTTATCTCTACCTTCCTACAAACCTTTTTAACATCCTGCAGGAGCCTAAACCTTCTAAGAAACAGTCTGTTTCCACCGCCAAAAATGGATCGCTTGGTAAACCTGTTAATAAGGCTAAGTTGCCTGAGAGTTCGGATGAATCTGAATCTTCGGATGATAGTGATTCCTCAGACGATGAAGTGAGTAGAGTTTGTAAATCTTGCAGCACCTGGATACAGTTTGGCTAATTCACATGCGATGCTTGCAGTCTACCCTACATGATAAAAGGTTGTTTGCCACTTCTCTAAGTATTGATGGTAATTGTGTAGGAGGAAACAAAGGTCAAGGGAGCTGCTGATTTGAAACAGAAGCCTGCTGCTGTGGCCAAGAATGGTGCTGTTGCAGCTTCTAAGAAGGATGAATCAAGTGATGAGTCTGAATCAGAAGATGACAGTTCAGAAGATGAAGTAAGAGGCATTTGAATTTGGTTTAACATCTTTGTGTAAATGTCTTGTATATATATAAGCACTTTAGGGACTAATCAATGGACACAAATTCATGTTAAGGCCCCAAAGAAGCAGCCTGCCAAAAATGGAGCTGTCGTGGCCCCTGCTAAGAAAGTAGAGAGTTCTGAAGATTCTAGTTCTGAAGAGAGTGATTCTGATGAAGAAGAGGTATGTTGATTTGTTTTAATCTTCTTTGAATGATTAAACTCAAGCAACAGTTGCTTGTTTTTCTGATGTTATGGGTAATTTTGAATGTGATTGTGCAGGTTAAAGCCGCACCTGCAAAAAAACCTGCTGCAATTGCTGCTGCAACCAAGGTGTGTTCAATGCGCTCTTTTTTCTCTTTGTTCTTGTGCTGTCACATTGAGTCACACTAGCTGCATATGTTTTACAAATATATATTAATAGTTTATTGTCATTTAACTCTTCATGGAATTACAGAAGCCTGAATCTGATGATGAAAGCTCAGAAGAGAGTTCTGATGAAGAGGAACCTCAAAAGAAAAAGATTAAGGTAACATTGTAGGAACTGTAAATATTGTATTTCAAATGACTACCAAAAATGATGATACAACTTGAGGTCTACAAACTATGTTTATAAACGGTGGTTTATTTTGTTGAATAAATTGCAGCCATCTGACACCAAAGCTGCTGCAAAACCAACCCCAAAAGCTGAAGAAGAGGATAGCAGTGATTCTGAGGAAAGTTCTGATGAAGAGCCAGCAAAGCCACAAGCTGTGAAAAAGGTAGGTGGATTTTTTAACTCTTGTTGGTCCACTGATGGTTCACTTCAGACAGCCTTGTTTATTCATTCAATCAATTTTGCTTGTAGCCTGCACAAGCTGCAAAGAAAGCTAGCAGTTCTGATGAGGATTCAGAAGAAGATGATGAAGAAGATGATAGTTCTGATGAGGATGAAGCACCTGCCAAAACCAATAAGAAAAGTGTAAGGATTGTTGTTATATTTCCAGTGTGGTGGGTGCATTGCATCCCTTTTTATATATTGAATTAGTACAGATAAAAATGCTACAATTACATGGTTTTATTTCTATTCTCGTTGTTTATAATTCAAATATTTGCAGGATACTGATGTGGAAATGGTTGATGCTCCATCAGCAAAGAAAGCGGTTAGTCTTCAATATGTATATTTGTTTTGTTGTTCTTAACAAATTTGATTGCATTACTAATAAATGGTAAATTTGCAGCCTCAGACCCCAATGACTCCTCAAGCTACCGGAACTAAAACTTTGTTTATGGGCAATTTAAGTTTCTCTATCGAGGAAGCTGATGTGTAAGTGCTTTTTATCCTTTTTAAGCCTTGCAACTTTGTTGTGTCGCATCATTTCTGATGATTATAATAACCCTGCAGAATTAATTTCTTCAAAGATGCTGGTGAAGTTGTTGAAGTCCGCTTTTCCATGAGAGATGACCGCTTTGCAGGTTATGGACATGTTGAATTTGCCACCCCTGATGCAGCACAAGAAGTATGGTTCTTTCTTTGATTTATTCAAATGAAAGTTAGTTTTTATTTACAAAATTGTCTGATAAATATTTGCATTGCATTTTTTCAAAAAGCACAATGTACATGATTTTGTTGATCTTGAAATCTTTGTGACTAATGAATATGATTCTATTTTGCAGGCTCTCAAGCTTAATGGGGAATCGTTACTTGATCGTCCTGTTAAACTTGACTTGGCAAAGGAAAGAGGTGCATACACTCCAGGCAGCGGGTAAGATGCTTTTGGAATATGCAGTTTTAACATCATCTATTTGAAAACTGGCTTCTAAACTGATAATTCTCATTTATTTCTGCAGCAACGAAAGGTCTTTCCAAAAGAGTGGTGGCCAGGCTCTAACTGCATTTGTGAGGGGATTTAGTGCTGATGATAGTTTTGACAATGTATGTTTAGATACCTGAAATCTGGTGTCATTATACATTAAAATATGATTATATTTTTCTGTTTTCAAGATGAATCATTTTTGTGCTTTTCCTACTGGTTTTTTACGAGTCTGAATTCTTTTGCAGCTAAGGAGTACCCTTGGGGAGCACTTTGGACAATGTGGTGAGATTTCACGGATGTCGATTCCAAAAGATTATGAATCTGGGGGTCCTAAAGGGTATGCGTTTTGTATTCAGGAGTTAATTTTGTAGTTTAAGCTTGTTTTCACCACAAAATTTTGGTATTAACCTGTTAAATGGTATTTTTTTCAGGGTTGCTTTCATAGATTTTGCCGACCGTAATGCCCTTAACAAAGCTTTGGAACTTAGCGGAACTGATGTTGGAGGAGGCACCATAATCGTAGAGGAAGCCAAGCCCAGAGGTGACAGAGATGGTGGATTTAGCGGTGGACGTGGTGGAGGCCGTGGCTTTGATGGCGGTAGGAGCGGCGGAAGAGGAGGTAGATTTGGCGGCAGAGATGGTGGATTTAGCGGTGGACGTGGTGGCAGGTTTAGTGGAGGCCGTGGCGGCAGAGATGGTGGCCGTGGAGGACGTGGCGGCAGAGGTCGTGGACCTAACAGGCCAAGCATGGCAACACCTGGTACAGGTGTGTGTTTTTTGGCATTTTTATAAAATCTTTTTCAATTGTTTTTTTTTTCAAATAGAAGATAAGATTCTCATAAATTGTGCTCTAATGTTGCAGGAAGGAAGACAACATTTGGTGATGATTAAGCATGGGAGCTGTTGTAACCTGGTTGCTTGTTTTTAGGGTTTGTGATGACAACATTTTTATGGGTTCTTTTTATTTCATGGATGATATGATAGACATGATGAGATTTTGGGTTATTATGTAGTAGTTTTGACTTTCCCCTAAAGCTAGTTTGATAATATGTAATATTTTTGATAAGTTTATTTCAATTAAAGCTGTTCTCTTCTCCATTTTTGCTTCTGGTTTCTTATCTCTACTCATGCCAAAAATTGCTTATAGATCTATTGTACTGTTTTTGTCTATTTTTTTAAATGTGGTATGGAAGCTGCTTGTCTTTTTTGGCATGATGTGATTTGTGGGGGATAGAAAATGCATTTTCATCCTCATGTTTTGTGTCTGTGTGAGAAAAAAATGCAATTTTCATTGTCTCATGTTCGATATGGTATCAAATTTTGAGTCGAACTTGTGTGGATAAATAATGAACATCGCTTATTCTAGTGTTTATCAGTAAAATATAAAACAGTTTAACAAGGTTTTTTGTGAATTTTCTAGTGTAATATCAACCTTTTAGATAAAGGGTTTATTTGTTTTAGAAGCACTACTTGCATGTTGTTAAAAGTGTTTTTGTAAAAAACAAATTTATTTTTTTGTAAAAAAACCTTTTTTTGGGCTAAATGTTCATTAAAAAACAAAGAAAAAACAATTAAATTCAAAATCTTTATACTTTCTCTATTTTAAAGAATTATTTCGGTTCGAATTTTCTATTTTTTTTTGTTTTGAAGATTTTAATTATATTAAAGATGCTCTAACTGTATACATATTCAATTTTTATAATTATATTATGACAGATAATGAGACTATATAACGAAAAGATTTCTGAAAAATATATTATTATAATAAAAAACTAAAATGGAAAAAATGTTATTTTATTCATTGGGCTTTTTAAAAAATAATATAGAGATTCTTATTTGATTTTCAATGATGCGAAATTGATAAAATAATTGCAATGTTAAATTGCATAAATTACCATAAATAATTAGGAAGTTTCGCTTAATTTTTTATTTGGTTGTTCAACTTTAATATATAGAGGTGAGTATTTATACAATCTCTTACATTTGTACAATCAATACAATTCAATCTTAACTGTTCATTTAATTTGATGAATATGTAATTTAATAAAAGTTTTGATTGTTTTTTTAATATAAAATATTGATTATAATTAATGAACATTATTCATCTTCTATAAATATTTAAATCATAATAAATGGACTCTCATCATTTCCATAAATATTTCAATTTACTGGGTTGAATTGGTTGTATAAATATGATGGGTTGAATTTGAAACAAACTCTTAATATATATATATATATATATATATATATATATA